ATGCAGTGCCTTAGACCACTGCGCCACTCAGGAATACATGACTTTAGTGAAAGGCGAGAAGGCTGGGATATTTGAGAGTAGCAGAGGGTTTGGAGATAGGGGGTTTTACCTTGTTGGACTCCCGCTTTGGGCATGCGCCTCTGCCCCTTAGCAGATGAAGGCCGGGGTATTCTGGCTGGACTGTCAGACTGAGGAGAGGAGGGGAGGGGAGGGGAGGAGAGAAGGGAAGAGAGATGGAGGAGGAGAGGGAGGAGAGTAGAAGAGAGGAGGATGACTGAGTAAGTGTGTCCAATTCATCTTTATAAGTGGGCATGTGTACACACTTATAAACATTCAGGGCCATTCTTAGGAAAAGAAGGACAAAGGCAGCCCCTCTTTGAATAGAAGAGGTTACCTGCTTGTCTATGACTTCTGCGGTCTATAAAAAAAAAGAAAGCATAGGGTAAACATCTGATTAGCAATTGAATCCAGGCCTGTCCGAACGTTCCACCAAACGGAGCTACAATGCAAGTAAAGCGGTAGGAAACCAAGATCCTATGGTAAATGGTATAGCACCATTTCTACACCATGGCATGACAAGCTATGCTAGGGAACCACAGTAAACTCCCACGGAAAATGCTCAGAACGGTAAACCTACCAAGCACTCATACTGTACTACCCAGTTCTACCCAGAGTACCCCTTCCCAGTTCTATGCTATATAGCTAGACTAGGGCGCATTAGGCTGGATGGGCATGGAAGAGATACCAATGAATTGTGGTCAGTATAGGAGGTTATTGCGTATGTGAATAATTTCACTAAGTCAATGAACAAGTGTTTATTTCTTCTGTTTAGCCAATAGTGGTTTTAGCTATATTGTTATAGAAATGATGTCGGCCTAAAGGCCTTTTTAACCATTGTAGCACAGAAACTGCACCAAATAGCTGCAGCACATTTTTTAAAGTTTTTTTTTAACCTTTATTTAACTAGGCAAGTCAGTTAAGAACAAATTCTTATTTACAATGAAGGCCTACACCGGCCAAACCCGGACGACGCTGGGCCAATTGTGCGCCGCCCTATGGGACTCCCAATCACGGCCGGTTGTGATACAGCCTGGAATCGAACCAGGGGGTCTGTAGTGACGCCTCAAGCACTGAGATGCAGTGCCTTAGACTGCTGCGTCACTCGGGAGACCAAAAGTATGTGGACACCTGCTCATCGAACATCTCATTCCAAAATCATGGGCATTAATATGGAGTTGGTCTCCCCCTTTGCTGCTTTAACAGCCTACACTCTTCTGGGAAAGCTTTCCACTAGATATTGGAACATTGCTGCGGGGACTTGCTTACATTCAACCACAACAGCATTAGTGAGGTCGGGCACTGATGTTGGGCGATTAGGCCTGGCTCGCAGTCGGTGTTCCAATTCATCCCAAAGGTGTTCAATGGGGTTGAGGTCAGGGCTCTGTGCAGGCCAGTCAAGTTCTTCCACACTGATCTCAACAAACAATTTCTGTATGGACCTCGCTTTGTGCACGGGGGCATCGTCATGCTGAAACAGCAAAGGGCCTTCCCCAAACTGTTGCCACAAAGTTGGAAGGTTGCAACCGAGACTCGTCAAAGTCCAGACCTAAACCCGATTGTTGCAGCGACTATAATTAGCAGGTCATGCTCGAAAACTCAAAAATGTTGCTGAGTTAAAGCAGTTGTGCATGGAAGAGTGGGCCAAAATTCTTCCGCAGCGATGTTCGAGACTGATCAACAACTACTGGAAGTGTTTGGTTGCAGTTATTGCAGCTAAAGGTGGCACAACCAGTTATTGACTTTCTCACACAGGGGCATTGGGTTTTGCACAACTTTGTTTTTAAATAAATGAAATAAGTATCACATTTCTGTGTTATTTGTTCACTCAGGTTCCCTTCATCTAATATTAGGTTTTGGTTGAATATCTGATACTATTCAGTGTAGAAAATATGCAAAAACCGAGAATATCAGAACGGGGGCAAAATGATGATGATCGGGACCTGTTTGTCATAGTTTTTTTTAACTTACATTAAAAACCCTTTTTTGGTTAGGGATTTTTAAAATAATATTAATAATCCCAATTTCGTTTAAACATTTTTACGTTAATCATCTTCACCATTGGGGTTGAAGGTCAGAGTACACATGCTAGATCAGAACCCGTATTCTTTGTATTTTGGTTATCACAAAAAAAAACTCAGAGCAGGCTTAACTTGCCCGACTGCCATAAATGCCACAAATTGTCTGTCTTTCACTTAAACAATGGGGAGGAACCAAAAAGATCAGTTTTAGGCTACTAGAATTCTTTGCAGTTTGGTTGTTTTCACTTTTTTATTTTATCACCTACCAAAATGGGGCAACCTCAGAGCAGGCTCAACTTGCACGACTGTTCAGATCACTTGCCCTAGACAATAGGGCAGCCCGTAGCCCTTTACACTCGTACCCGTATATGGGTTGAAAATGGCAGATTTGGGCACCCCCCCATCTCTCCTGCTAATTGGGCAACCTTTACAAATGTTTTTTTTTTTTTTTGTCTGAGTGAGGGAAATGCTGTAAATTAGGAGGACTATGTATTTTGAAAGATGGGACATTGAGGATTATAATAAATACTGCTTTGACTTCACATTTCCATATCATAAAACTCATGTCATATACAGTGTCAACGTTTGTGACCACTATGTTTGATGTACAGTTACAAGATGACATGGCGTCATACCCTGGGTTGTTCTGAACAGAATGAGCCTACGTTTGTCTATTGTGATGAAACTTCGCCGTGGCACACGCACCTGAATGAACTTATGACTAGGGCTGTTGCGGTGACCGTATTACCGCCACACCGGCATTCATGAGTCATGACCGCAGTAAAATTCTACATGACCGTTGAGTCACAGTAATCTCCTTTTATGCACTCTGGACATGCATTAGTAGTAGCCTATCCAACTCGCTAAGGATCATCAGGCTAATGGCCTGGTACTCAGGGCTCTATTGTCCCTCTAACCACTCTGACATCAATGCAAATGCAATCAAAAATCACATCAAACACTTATAATCAAAACACTATGTGCTTTTAAAACTCACCGCACTGTGATTTATCAATTTGAAGAAAGAAGTTCAACAATAGGTTGAAACTGAGTGTAAAACATGGTCGTTGTGGATATTGTTTCAAAGCCTAACAACGAAATGGACAGCTGCTTTCTAAGGTGATGACTAATTAAAAACCTCCATATTAGAGATTATTAGAGATTATGCATAAACATAGGCCAATATATATGAGCCCGAAAACCCCCCTGAATTAAAATAATGATTCTGCCTTTATACAATACATAGCCAACCGTATATTACACATGGCAGAAAAACATTTAAAAAATACCCCTCTCTCCTTAATTCCTTTCTCCAGCACGCAGAGAGAGGGGCTGTGTGGTGGGAAAATTACAAATTAGACATGCTATGCTGTTCTTTATTTAGAGAATTGTCTCTTGTTATATGCCAATGTTTTTTTCTAACCTGATACATGCGTATAGCTAAGAGCCGTTTGGGTGCGACCACAGCATTTGACACATCCCGTGTTTCACTATCTGCAGGAACAGACAATGGTGTGAGCTGTGGCTATCTTAATCTGCACAGACAAGCTAATCAACTTTTACACTATGTTCCCCCCCCCCTGCTAACTGCCACGTAAACAAAGAGGTTGTACTTCCCTATAAAAGCTGACACCAAACTCTGTTCTTCGGGCTCTTAACTCTGCACCATTGAGTGATCGTTAACTGCTCCATTTTTGCAAATCTTATAATAAAGTTGTTGTTTGTAGAATCTACAGTCTTTCTTCCTTTTGGTTAGAATTTCCACGACAGCTGTCAACAGCTTAATGAAATATGTTTAGTTGTGAATACATGTTACGATTGATGTTCCCGAACAGATTGAACTTGTTTTCCCCAAATTAAGCACTGGGTAGCTGCAGGAACAGGGTTGGAGAGCCCATGTCATACAGAGTTTGGGTGGAATATAACCTGTGGCGCAGCGAAATTACCTGAGTAGCCTACCCAACATGAGTGAAAAAAACGTACCGGTGGGAAAGTGGCCTCCATTCACTATTCCAGTGCATATGGACTACATGTCTTTTTTGTCTTGCCTCTTTGATAATGGGCCACATTAAATCAAAACTAATTTTACATATTAGTAAAAACAAGATTAAATTGAGAATAGTCTGATGGGTGAAAATATGATCACTTGATGAGAGAACAGCGTGTGCAGCCTGAGGCAAGGAACAGAGCGCAAGCTTTTTTTTGCGACTTTTTCAAATCATCAATAGCCTATAGGTCGCATCATGCAGCCCATATATATTTTGATTTCTAAGGCATTCTAAGGTTTGTATCATTCACTGAAGTTGCCAAATAACTCTAAATCTAGCATTAAGGACCTGTTTCAAATGATCACTTTTACGCTCAACATAGCCATTCTATTTTATTCAGCTAAGTTCAAATATATTATTCTTCCTAGAAAATATAATATAAAACAATGGCACGGGACTTATAAGCATATCTTTGTCTGCTAAATTAACAAGCCTACAGCCTATGGCATGGTGCATAACCAGATAACATACAGTAGGCCAACTCATATTCTGTTCTTCTGAAATAAATTTCCTTCATACCATAATGTTTCTTTAGACCTGCCTAAAATAAATAATGAATTTATTGGGATGGTGTATATTCAATTGATTTATTATACTTTTAAAAAATGTAGATGTTCCAAAGGTGCGCATCAGAGGCGTGTATGCTGCTTGTATGAGTGGAGCCTGGAGATGCTAAACATGTTTATGTTAATTAACAGTCAATTACTGTCAGACCGGCAGTGTTTTGTATGACAATAACCAGCTGACAAAATTTCATGAACGCCACAGCCCTACTCATGACTCCTTTCTATGCGCACCAAATGATGACTGACAATAGTAGATACTGCTCATAGGAGAGAGGGTAGAGCTTACCGCTTGTTCAGGTTTGGTCGTTTTACTGGGCTCCTCTGGATGTGGTCGGTGTTTTGACTCCTCTGACGCTCTGGCCTAAAAACACACACACACACACACCGCAGGATCTCATAGAAGCACTTGCTGCTACTGTTACATTAAGGACTTAATGGGACAAAGCCATGGAATGACTGACATGCTCTACCTTTCTGTCGCCTTTCTCTGGCACTTTGGTCTTCTCCTCCCCCTGTTTGTGTCTGGGCTCTCTCGCCTTCTCCCTTTCTCCCTTGTCTCGCCGTTTATCCCTGTCTCCATCTTTCTCCTTATCCCTATATCTGTCTCTCGCTCTGTGTGACTCCTTATCTTTGCTCTTCTCTCCGTCTCTGTCCTTCTCCCGGTCCTTCTCTCTCTCCTTGTCTCGTTCCCTGTCTTTCTCTCTTCTCGTGTCTTTGTCCGTCTCTCGGTCCCGGCTCTTGTCCTTGTCACGGTCTTTGGTCCGGTCTCGTTCGCGGGCCTTCTCCGACCTCTCTCCCTCGCGGTGGGGCTCCTTCTCCTTGTCGCCCCGCCTGCCCTCCTGCTTTTTGGGCTGGTCCGGGTCCTTCTGCTCCCGGCCTCCACCGACGCTGTGCTCTCGGATCTCCTTCCTCTCCTGGAGAGACACATATATTTTCATTGTCACCCTCAACACATTGTGGTAAAATAAACTGTCACAGCAGTACGGCCCCTGTATGACTAGTCTAGAGGCAGTTAGAGGTTGAAGTTCAGGTTTTAGAATGACAAAAACCGGTGGTGACAGATATCTATATCTGGCATTCTCATCCACAGAATTAGAATGCTCTGAGGGGATAAGTCTTGTCCACTCTGAGTTCTAGGTGTCTGGTCTCACCTCTCGGTCTCTGTGGTGCTCTCGTCCCTCCCGGTTCTCCTTGTCCTGGGAACGGGAGGTGCTGACCTTCCCCTTGGGGTCCAGCTTGTCCCCCGCCAGCACCCGCTTCACTGCCTCCTCACTGGACAGCTGGGGACGACAGGCATGACACAGGGGACAGACATGACACAGGGGACAGACATGATTGTCAACTCACATTCTACCATACTGTGTACATTTTCATAAAGCTTGTTTATTGGGAATTTAAAAAAATAATCTAGGTGATGTATTGTAAGAGGAGTGTACATTACTAGCACACATCAATCTTTGTCCAGAATAACCTGCCCACCTGTCTGTCTATAATTAATTTAATATATTTTTTAAAGACATCTAGTTGCCTCAGCCATTTGAGTACAACAATACATAAATGACTGAGGATTTTAAAACACAAAGTCTACAGACCTTTCCATTGTGGTCCTTGTTATAATCAATGTTGTATATGCTAGCTAGCTAGCTAGCTAGCTAGCTACTCGATTAACCTACATGTACAGTATATGAACAGTCTGCTACAATGAGACCTCGGGGAGGCATGGCAGAGTTCCCCTGAGCTCGAAGCCCTCTATTCACACTGGCTGTCTCCAGGGTCCAATTAAAATGTACTAAACTGATCCTCTTCAGACTTCACCCAGGAGCTTCATTAGTGTGCGTAAACATGCATGACCTTTATCTGGACTATTCTGTTTGAATATTTTTTCAGCCAAAAATTATGATCCAAAATATTTGCAGCAAGAATTAGCCTATCTTGTGTTCTTTACTGGGAGAAGTGCCCTCTCATGTCTATGTAAAATGTATTTGGGCAATGTTACAGTATGTTGCTTAGGCTGTATTTGTGTTCATGTGTGTGTGTTCATGTGTGTATATGTTGTGTAGCTACGTGCGTGTACGTGAACATGGATCTTTCCAAACAGACAGACCTTGTTGAGGCAGCACTTGGCTATGGCCTGCAGCAGCTCGTTGGTCTTCTCAGGCTCGTGGCCGGCTACGATGCGTGCCGGCTTGGCCGACAGGGGCTCGCCGCTCACCAGCATTACCACGTCCATAGCCTTCTGCAGGAATGCTATCTTAGCATCCTTATCCTGCAGGAGAGAGAGAGAGGAAGAGAAGGATTGAATGAAAGACTGAGAACTACTACTTCCAATGGGAATGTTAATTTCCTCTGAGGTTAGCGTAATAATACCGCTCAGTAGGGCTGGCACAATTACCGTATAACCGACTGTTATGGATGAAGACAGTCAAATGGATGTAGACAGTCAAAATAAAATAACCGTCAGAACCATTTAAGAAAACTTTTATGGAACGGGCTTGGAACCGCTAACCCTAGCAATTTGACTGGTAAACTAATGGGTACACTCGCAATGGCTGCCTGGTATTGTTATGCAATAATTTCCATGGTAATGTAGAATGTTCAATCAAATGTCGGTAGCCCTTTACACTCATACCCGTATACGGGTTGAAAATGGCACTGATAAGCGCCTAAATTGGAACGCAGTGGCTGTACAGTTACATGCTATACATGACGTCAGAGCTCAGGGTCAGACGTTCTGAATTTGAGCACCACCCGCGACAAGAAGCTTCCCTAATTCCTCCCGCTAATTGGGCAACTTTAGCAAATATTTTGTTTTCTGAGTGAGGGAAATGCTGTAAATTAAGAGGACTATGTATTTTGATAGATGAGACATTGAGGATTATAATAAATACCGCTTTGATGTCATACAAGCAAGCCAAACAACTGTGAGTCTAAATGTGCACTTCACATTTCCATATCATAAAACTCATGTAATACTGTATACGGTGTCAAAGTTTATGATCACTATGCTTGATGTAGAGTTAGTTACAAGATGACCTGGTGTTATACCCTGGGTTGTCCTGAACAGAATGAGCCTGTTTGTTGTACTGTGTAGAAAATATGGAAATGTGAAGTGCACTCATGACTCCATTCTATACACACCAAAATTAAAATCTGTTTCTCTGAATTGCCTTGTGAAAGCCTAACACTGTAAGATCGTATTTTATAATTTAGCTAGTCATGTTGGCAATAGAACAAGCTTTCAAATTATTCCAGTTTTTGGATTGCGTAAACAACAAGAGTAATTGTGTAAAGACGGGGATACAGGGCTGTGTTCCAAACAAAAAAAAAGACAAGTGTACTTGCTCTAGTTCCTCAATGGCATAGCTAGGAGAGCTAAAAAAAGCACTATATAGTTGAAGACTCTTCTTTGAGTCATAAAAGTGCATTGAAATTACTTAGGAACTGTGCACACTTTGGAGATGTACAGTGGGGGAAAAAAGTATTTAGTCAGCCACCAATTGTGCAAGTTCTCCCACTTAAAAAGATGAGAGAGGCCTGTAATTTTCATCATAGGTACACATCAACTATGACAGACAAAATGAGAGAAAAAAATCCAGAAAATCACATTGTAGGATTTTTAATGAATTTATTTGCAAATTATGGTGGAAAATAAGTATTTGGTCAATAACAAAAGTTTCTTAATACTTTGTTATATACACTTTGTTGGCAATGACACAGGTCAAACGTTTTCTGTAAGTCTTCACAAGGTTTTCACACACTGTTGCTGGTATTTTGGCTCATTCCTCCATGCAGATCTCCTCTAGAGCAGTGATGTTTTGGGGCTGTTGCTGGGCAACACAGACTTTCAACTCCCTCCAAAGATTTTCTATGGGGTTGAGATCTGGAGACTGTCTAGGCCACTCCAGGACCTTGAAATGCTTCTTACGAAGCCACTCCTTTGTTGCCCGGGCGGTGTGTTTGGGATCATTGTCATGCTGAAAGACCCAGCCACGTTTCATCTTCAATGCCCTTGCTGATGGAAGGAGGTTTTCACTCAAAATCTCACGATACATGGCCCCATTCATTCTTTCCTTTACACGGATCAGTCGTCCTGGTCCCTTTGCAGAAAAACAGCCCCAAAGCATGATGTTTCCACCCCCATGCTTCACAGTAGGTATGGTGTTCTTTGGATGCAACTCAGCATTCTTTGTCCTCCAAACACGATGAGTTGAGTTTTTACCAAAAAGTTCTATTTTGGTTTCATCTGACCATATGACATTCTCCCAATCCTCTTCTGGATCATCCAAATGCACTCTAGCAAACTTCAGACGGGCCTGGACATGTACTGGCTTAAGCAGGGGGACACGTCTTTCACTGCAGGATTTGAGTCCCTGGCGGCGTAGTGTGTTACTGATGGTAGGCTTTGTTACTTTGGTCCCAGCTCTCTGCAGGTCATTCACTAGGTCCCCCCGTGTGGTTCTGGGATTTTTGCGATCATTTTGACCCCACGGGGTGAGATCTTGCGTGGAGCCCCAGATCGAGGGAGATTATCAGTGGTCTTGTATGTCTTCCATTTCCTAATAATTGCTCCCACAGTTGATTTCTTCAAACCAAGCTGCTTACCTATTGCAGATTCAGTCTTCCCAGCCTGGTGCAGGTCTACAATTTTGTTTCTGGTGTCCTTTGACAGCTCTTTGGTCTTGGCCATAGTGGAGTTTGGAGTATGACTGTTTGAGGTTGTGGACAGGTGTCTTTTATACTGATAACAAGTTCAAACAGGTGCCATTAATACAGGTAACGAGTGGAGGACAGAGGAGCCTCTTAAAGAAGAAGTTACAGGTCTGTGAGAGCCAGAAATCTTGCTTGTTTGTAGGTGACCAAATACTTATTTTCCACCATAATTTGCAAATAAATTCATTAAAAATCCTACAAATGTGATTTTCTGGATTTTTTTTCTTCTCAATTTGTCTGTCATAGTTGACGTGTACCTATGATGAAAATTACAGGCCTCTCTCATCTTTTTAAGTGGGAGAACTTGCACAATTGGAGGCTGACTAAATACTTTTTTCCCCCACTGTATGTGGCAACTTGGAAACACCAGTTAGACCTATCACTCAAACCCTTGTCATTCTTTTGTCTTGTCTTATGTTGCACCTACCCCAAATGTTCAAAGAGTATTCTTTTCATGTTACTGAAATCCACATTTCGTTATCAACAAATGCAGCAAAAACTACAGTAAATGTAAAATGCACATAAAATCAACAGTGTAATGTTTGGATTCAGTCTTGTGTCAGGTGAACTGTCCTCACCTTTAGTCTAATAATTTCCCCATAATCTCCAAACTGCTCCCTTTTAATTGCTACCATGGTTATGCATATGCTTTCCATATTTCATCTGTAAGAAACGTTTCCATTTAGCCCTATCCATATAGGGCAATTCCCACGAGTGTAAGGGGTTAACTGATGCGGCTCATGCAATGGAATGAATTTTTTGTAATGTCAGTTTAGTTGAATCAACAAATCACAGCACATGGGTATACTTCCTGCTTTGCTCCTTTGGGTACACTCGCCAGTCCTCCCATTATGCCATCCATTGGGGATGCCTGTTCTATTCATTATTTTCCGATGGCAGCACATTTTTTGCTATTCAAATTGTTATTACGATTATGGTCATTTCTGCTATTCAAAATGGTCATTTGGCTGGGCCCAGTTTCCCGATAGCGACGGAATTTAGGCTTACGAGTGTTTTAATGATGCATATTTCCTACAACGGCGGGGAAATGTAACATGCGTTTCCCAAAACACCACACTGAGAGAACAGTCGCCTAGATCATCGTTGGCGCATGTGTCAATACTGATAGGATTTCTCAATTCAGATCTTTCCTTAACATTATAATTATTTCACAATACTGATGACGGATCAGCTCCTAGAGAGAAAGCATTCTAATGCTTACCCAATAAACATGAAATAAATCACAGATTTGGCACATCATTGTGCACGTCAGGCTACACATAATGAAATATATTGAGACAAATTACAGACAGTAGCCTACAATTAGCAAAACAGAACTCAATTGATTGAACATTAAATGTATTTCAATATGATTGAAATAGGCCTATAGCGTACTGTTTATATTTTAATGCAGTCATCTTGGTTTTCATTTGAAGCATATATTTATACGACGCTTGTTTGTATCAACTGCAAAGACATTGGCAACTTTGTATTTCTAGTCAACTTTGTTCTGAAGTTATCAGCGGTCACAGAGAGACAGATAGATACACCATGTGATTCTTTGTTTAGCGGAGATCTTCTGTGTATAAAGTGAAGCGGGAGGGCAAAAAAGCATCTAACGACGCACTTTGCTGTTCTACGTGTGATCTGAGGCAGGCGTTAGATTACGAGCGTTTTCAAGTGCAATGTTAATAACAATAGTTTTGGGAAACAGCTCTGAGATTTAACAATGCACCTACGAAGGTTCTAATGATGAACTTACTTAGCCTTAAGATGCTTTTGGGAAACCGGGCCCTGGCCAATTACCGTGATCAAGAACCGCCACAGCCCTACCGCTGAGCCCTGTTTCTTTGCATCATTTTTCTCGAGTGCGCCCTCGATTGATATCATAGTACACATGACTACTGGAGAGTTTATGCAGACGTGTGTGAAACCAAACTATCTGAAGTACCCCTTTTCACCATGTGCACTTGAAAGAAATCTCAAACTTTTCTAGTTACACACCGACGCACAATGGAACTAAGGGTGTTGCACTGTACAGACAGCCCATTCCAAAACTGTGTCCTCATCTGTGATCGGTTTCCAGACAGGCAAAGTTGAGACTACAACCTAAGCTCCATGCCAACAGTGTAACATTACGCTGGCCACTAAAGTAATCTGGGCTTGGTAATAACGGATATCAAGCAGGGTGCTCTATTATCTCCACCCAGCCCCTGAGCACTCCAGAACCTGGATTTCACAACACAGCTGACATTTAAAGGCCTGAGAGAAAGAGCAGTGGACGAGCCAGAGCCAAGAGTGTCCCTTTCATAGAATTAGGAATACGAATACTAGAATGACATGAACCTTCTTATGATGGAATAAAGGTCAGCCAATTTGGTCAGGGAGTTGGTCAACCATGGTTTGCCAGTGCTGTGATAAGATAGTGTAAAATAATGAATTTGAAGAATGTATCTGTCCTGTATGTTTATTAGCTAGCTAACCAGAACGTTTTATTTCCATTAAACTTTCTAAATAACTGCCAATATGCCAACATTTCATTCAAACAATGCAGTCAATCCACAGCCATACACTGAAATCAGTTTATGATAGGACTTGAACAAGTTGTAAATGCAGCAAGTACTGATATTAATTATATAAATAGCACTCACAGCTTCCAAGAAAACACAAAATTAGACATTTATGGTCTGTTTATGTATATTTGAGGCTATTTATACCTAAAATAGGTATAAAACCAGTATAAACTTTTTTTTTAATATATTCTTTAATATTTACACCATTATTACTTTCCAACCCCACCACCCCTTCCCTAATTGGAGTAAACTAGTGAACAACAATGCTTAGGCCTCTACTTCCAGCTTATACATACTATATACATTTTATGGACACAGTCAATTTTACAATAATTCCATTTTGTTTGTTTTTACTCCTGAACTTCCTCTACCCTCAACCTCTCCGATCATTTTCATGATGTCCATCCGGTTTGCATCTATATGCCATATCTTTCTAACTGTGTTCTTTCACAAAAGCTCTCAACCTTTAACCTACAGTGGGGAGAACAAGTATTTGATACACTGACGATTTTGCAGGTTTTCCTACTTACAAAGCATGTAGAGGTCTGTAATTGTCATCATAGGTACAAAAATCCAGAAAATCACATTGTATGATTTTTAAGTAATTAATTTGCATTTTATTGCATGACATAAGTATTTTATTACCTACCAACCAGTAAGAATTCCGGCTCTCACAGACCTGTTAGTTTTTCTTTAAGAAGCCCTCCTGTTCTCCACTCATTAACTGTATTAACTGCACCTGTTTGAACTCGTTACCTGTATAAAAGACACCTGTCCACACACTCAATCAAACAGACTCCAACCTCTTCACAATGGCCAAGACCAGAGAGCTGTGTAAGGACATCAGGGATAAAACTGTAGACCTGCACAAGGCTGGGATGGGCTACAGGACAATAGGCAAGCACCTTGGTGAGAAGCCAACAACTGTTGGTGCAATTATTAGAAAATTGAAGAAGTTCAAGATGACGGTCAATCACCCTCGGTCTTGGGCTTCATGCAAGATCTCACCTCGTGGGGCATCAATGATCATGAGGAAGGTGAGGGATCAGCCCAGAATTACACGGCAGGACCTGGTCAATGACCTGAAGAGAGCTGGGACCACAGTCTCAAAGATTAGTAACACACTACGCCGTCATGGATTAAAATCCTGCAGTGCACGCAAGGTCCCCCTGCTCAAGCCAGCGCATGTCCAGGCCCGTCTGACGTTTGCCAGTGACCATCTGGATGATCCAGAGGAGGAATGGGAGAAGGTCATGTGGTCTGATGAGACAAAAATAGAGCTTTTTGGTCTAAACTCCACTCGCCGTGTTTGGAGGAAGAAGAAGGATGAGTACAACCCCAAGAACACCATCCCAACCGTGAAGCATGGAGGTGGAAACATCATTCTTTGGGGATGCTTTTCTGCAAAGGGGACAGGACGACTGCACCGTATTGAGGGGAGGATGGATGGGGCCATGTATCGCGAGATATTGGCCAACAACTTCCTTCCCTCAGTAAGAGCATTGAAGATGGGTCGTGGCTGGGTCTTCCAGCATGACAACGACCCGAAACACACAGCCAGGGCAACTAAGGAGTGGCTCCGTAAGAAGCATCTCAAGGTCCTGGAGTGGCCTAGCCAGTCTCCAGACCTGAACCCAATAGAACATCTTTGGAGGGAGCTGAAAGTCCGTATTGCCCAGCGACAGCCCCGAAACCTGAAGGATCTGGAGAAGGTCTGTATGGAGGAGTGGGCCAAAATCCCTGCTGCAGTATGTGCAAACCTGGTCAAGACCTACAGGAAACGTATGATCTCTGTAATTGCAAACAAAGGTTGCTGTACCAAATATTAAGTTCTGCTTTTCTGATGTATCAAATACTTATGTCATGCAATAAAATGCAAATTAATTACTTAAAAATCATACAAATGTGATTTTCTGGATTCCGTCTCTCACAGTTGAAGTGTACCTATGATAAAAATTACAGACCTCTACATGCTTTGTAAGTAGGAAAACCTGCAAAATCGGCAGTGTATCAAATACTTGTTCTCCCCACTGTATATACATACATCCATATTTCCCTTTATTACTTTCAAACCCCACCACCCCTTTCCCAATTGGAGTAAACTAGTGAACAACAATGCTTAGGCCTCTACTTCCAGCACATAAATACTATATACATTTTATGGAAACAGTCAAATTCTACAATATTTCTATTTTGTTTGTTTTTACTCCTGAACTTCCTCTAATCATTTTCATGATGTCCATCCGGTTTGCTTCTATATGCCATATTTTTCTAACTGTGCTCTTTCACAAAAGCTCTCAACCTATAACCTATATACTTATTATGGACACAGTATGCTTTACATTAGTTATCTTGTTGTTATTAGTTGTTGTTATTAGTCCCATCCTTCAGCTCCATTCAACACCTCCCATCTATCTCTTAACACCATCCATATTGGATTTCTATTTGCCATATATTTCTCAACTGTACTGTTTTACAAAAGTTCTGAACCTTTCTATTCTCATTGTTTCTACAGATCGTAAATTGAAAATAAAATTTTTGTCTAAGAGTATTACTATATTATTGATCGATTGACTATAACTTTTCAGATCATCCAGTAGTGCTATCTGCAGGGTAAGCTCCAGGTAAATATTGTAATCCTTTAGCCATTCCTGGACCTGTGTCCAAAAACAAGCTACAAATGGACAGTACCAAAACAAATGATATTCGCAGCAAAAACTGCAGAGCTGGGAAGATTGTATCCCCCATATCAACAACATTCTATTGGTAGCAAGAATTGTATATACAGTGGGGGGAAAAAAGTATTTAGTCAGTGCAGGATTTGAGTCCCTGGTGGCATGGTGTGTTACTGATGGTAGGCTTTGTTACTTTGGTCCCAGCTCTCTGCAGGTCATTCACTAGGTCCCCCCGTGTGGTTCTGGGATTTTTGCTCACCGTTCTTGTGATCATTTTGACCCCACGGGGTGAGATCTTGTGTGGAGCCCCAGATCGAGGGAGATTATCAGTGGTCTTGTATGTCTTCCATTTCCTAATAATTGCTCCCACAGTTGATTTCTTCAAACCAAGCTGCTTACCTATTGCAGATTCAGTCTTCCCAGCCTGGTGCAGGTCTACAATTTTGTTTCTGGTGTCCTTTGACAGCTCTTTGGTCTTGGCCATAGTGGAGTTTGGAGTGTGACTGTTTGAGGTTGTGGACAGGTGTCTTTTATACTGATAACAAGTTCAAACAGGTGCCATTATTACAGGTAATGAGTGGAGGACAGAGGAGCCTCTTAAAGAAGAAGTTACAGGTCTGTGAGAGCCAGAAATCTTGCTTGTTTGTAGGTGACCAAATACTTATTTTCCACCATAATTTGCAAATAAATTCATTAAAAATCCCACAATGTGATTTTCTGGATTTTATTTTCTCAATTTGTCTGTCATAGTTGACGTGTACCTATGATGAAAATTACAGGCCTCTCTCATCTTTTTAAAGTGGGAGAACTTGCACAATTGGTGGCTGACTAAATACTTTTTGTCCCCACTGTAATAATTTAAATTGAAAAATTCTAAGTTTTGAATCCGGCGTCATTTTGCGTATCAATTCATAAACACTATGCCATGGAATTGGTACGTCAAAAATCTCTTCCCAACTATTTTGCAATCTATATGGAACGGCTGTCAATCCTTTGGTCTTTAAATGAAACTGGTATTCTTTTTTATTTATCACAATTTTCTTTAACAAATTATATTCTTTAATGCAAGGCCGACAGACAAGATCCTTACTTTTCCCCCCTTCCACTTGCCTCTTCCATTTTTGCGGTAATGCTGCAATTATTTGGTTGTAATTTTGGGTAGAGCAGACATTTCCATATGTTTTTGTTAGCTGCATGTGCAAAATAACTCCACCAGTCCTTCCTATGATATAATTTACGAAGATTATATATTTTTTATCAATTAGTATATTTGAGTTTAACCACAATATTTGATGCATTATTTGTTCTGTCGTTTCTGGAGGATTAAATTGAAATTGCAACCAACTTTCTATGGCTTGTTTTAGAAATAGTGATATCTGGGAGATGATTTGACACCTTTGTTTTTAAGCCCTGGATTTCTAATCCCTTGATATTATTGTTGGATCTGATTTTAATAGCTAACATCTCAATGGCCATAATAAATAGATATGCCGATAGTGGACAACCTTGTTTCACTCCTCGACAGTTTAAAACTTTCTGAGAAATAGACATTATTTACTATTTTACACCTAGGGTTACTGTACATGATTTTAACCCAATTTATAAGAGATTCTCCAAAATTGAAATGCTCCAGGCATTTATATAAACCCCAGTCATACTTTAATGCAAATGCCCTTTCGAAGTCTGCTATGAATACCAGGCCTGGTTTCCCAGATTTTTCATAGTGTTCTATTGTTTCCAGTACTTGCCTTATATTATCTACAATGTATCGTCCATGTAAAAAACCTGTCTGATTAGAATGAATAATTTCCGACAATACCTTATTAATTCTATGAGCTATACATTTTGCTAGAATCTGTAATTTCACCTTCACATGAGTCTTTCTGTATGGCTGTTAATTTTACATTATCAATAGAAAAAAATCTCTACAATTAGCTTTAGTTAGAGGAGATGGAGGCGACTGAAATGAAAAACATATGCTTAAAGTACTTTGTTTCCTCCTTTAAAATATAATTTGGTGAATCATGGGTGACTCCATCATCTGTAACCATTTTCAGTAAATTATTTCTGGTAGCATTTCTATGTTGAAGATTAAAAAAGTATTTAGTGCATTATTCCCAATATTCCATCCAGTTCAGACCCCCCCTCTTTTCACCTGAGACACAAACACTCTGGTCCCCCGTTGTAACCATTTTCCCCAAGCATCTCTGTGCAGTCAGCCTTTGATTATTTTGTGCCACAATAATAATCCCCCTCTCTGATTGTCCGAGTGTGACCACCTCCCCATGGGTTACTGCAGCCAGTGTTGCCAGCACTGCCACTACCTGGGTGGGGGTACCCCACTGTAATCCCCACCGGCTAGGTACAAGGTCATCAAAGTTCTCATTAGCAGCTTTGAGAATTTCCTTGTATATTATGCTCTCCCATCAGGGGGCTCTGGCTTTGTAGGACCAACCCTGCCAGGCAGGCTCAGAATCTTGAGGGGGCGGTGCTAATCAAGTAGGTCTCTGACCACATTCATTTTTCCGTTTTGGCTGCCTATAGGCAACTCACTGCAGGCCCATAAAACAAATGGGGACTTCTCTTTGGTGTATGGGTCTCTCAGGTGGGTGTCTAGGATATAGGGTTGGGGATCGTTCCATCATGATAGGACAATAAAAAAATAGATAAGATGTATACTATATTTTAAAATGTATATCCCTCATCTGCACAAAATTGAACGCTCTCTCTCACAACCCCTGCTCACAGACACGCGTTGGTTCTGGGATATACAACCATTTCCTTTCTCACTCACTTAACGCCACACTTTTTCAAAACACAAAAACGCACACCACACCTTCCATCACAATACATCCACACATACAGACATACTGTGCCTTCTATGCATTCTGTTTGCTATGTTTTTATCATCGTCTATGTTGACTGAGTACTTGTGTTCTAATTAGTTGTATTTGAATATGTATTGTTTTGTTTGTTATATTTTCTTGTAATACAGTCTTATCCCTTTATAAAATACTATACATACTATAAATGTGCTTTATTATTACAATCCCAACCATTGCTATTATTTGGAGTTCCATTATTTGAGTCCTCTATTAGAACTTTCAGAAAAGCCATGGAGTAGTCTTTGTGTCGTGGAACATTTGGTTGTCAATATACAGTTTAAATCGACAACGAGAGCAACACGCTTCCCTTTTAATCTATTTTCCTTGAAGATTTGGTACAGAACTTTGCGCCGTTCTGCAATCTCCCTCTGGAACTGATCATTCATGCCTATTTTCGTGCCAGCAAGTCTTTTACCTAGGCTTTTAACATTTACTTTATCCTTTAAAAAATGCAAATTTGGCAACGATTGGACGCTCATCTCTCTGTCCTCTTTGTCCGAAACGGTGTACACGTTCGAGTTGGATTTAATCGACAGCCTCGAGTGGGATTTGAAGCGCTGTTAGAAAGAAGTCCTTCACAATTATTTCGGTAACCTATCCTTCTTTTTCTTGGATACCAGTAAGTACTAGATTTTCTCTCATCGATCTAGTTTGTATGTCTAGTAAGGTTTCTCTCAGAAAGTTGTTCTCCTTTTTAAGTTCCTTAACGTCCGTTTCTACCTCAGTGACTGTTCCTTTTAGTTATTTTGTATCGTTCTCCATTATTGCAGCTTTTCTGTCACTCATTTCAAGACTCTCCTTCAACTCTTTTACATCATTACTGACCAACTCTAAAGTCGTGCTCAAAAGTTTTGAGAATGACACAAGTATTGGTCTTCACAAAGTTTGCTGCTTCAGTGTTTTTAGATATTTGTCAGATGTTACTATGGTATACTGAATTATAATTACAAGCATTCCATAAGTGTCAAAGGCTTTTATTGACAATTACATTAAGTGTATGCAAAGAGTCAATATTTGCAGTGTTGACCCTTCTTTTTCAAGACCTCTGCAATCCGCCCTGGCATGCTGTCAATTAACTTCTGGGCCACATCCTGACTGATGGCAGCACATTCTTGCATAATCAATGCTTGGAGTTTGTCAGAAGTTGTGTGTTTTTGTTTGTCCACCCACCTCTTGAGGATCGACCACAAGTTCTCAATGGAATTAAGGTCTGGGGAGTTTCCTGGCCATGGACCCAAAATTTCGATGTTTTGTTCCCCGAGCCACTTAGTTATCACTTTTGCCTTATGGCAAGGTGCTCCATCATGCTGGAAAAAGCATTGTTCGTCACCAAACTGTTCTTGGATGGTTGGGAGAAGTTGCTCTCGGAGGATGTGTTTGGTTCCATTCCTTATTTATGGCTGTGTTCTTAGTCAAAATTGTGTGTGAGCCCACTCCCTTGCCTGAGAAGCAACCCCACACATGGTCTCAAAATAGTTTTGAGAATGACACAAATACTAATTTTCACAAAGTCTGCTGCCTCAGTTTTGATGATGGCAATTTACATATACTCCAGAATGTCATGAAGAGTGATCAGATGAATTGCAATGAATTGCAAAGACCCTCTTTTCCAAGAAAATGAACTTAATCCCCCCCCAAAAAAACATTTCCACTGCATTTCAGCCCTGCCACAAAATGACCAGCTGCCATCATGTCAGTGATTCCCTCGTTAACAGGTGAGAGTATTGACGAGGACAAGGCTGGAGATCCCTCTGTCATGCTGATTGAGTTAGAATAACAGACTGGAAGCTTTAAAAGGAGGTTGGTGCTTGAAATCATTGTTCTTCCTCTGTTAACCATGGTTACCTGCAAGGAAAGACATGCCGTCATCATTGTTTTGCACAAAAAGGGCTTCACAGGCAAGGATATTGCAGCTAGTAAGATTGCACCTAAACCAACCATTTATCGGATCATCAAGAACTTCAAGGAGAGAGGTTCAATTGTTGTGAAGAAGGCGTCAGGGCGCCCAAGAAAGTCCAGCAAGCACCAGGACCGTCTCCTAAAGTTGATTCAGCTGCGGGATTGGGGCACCACCAGTGCAGAGCTTGCTCAGGAATGGCAGCAGGCAGGTGAGTGCATCTGCACGCACAGTGTGGCGAAAACTTTTGGAGGATGGCCTGGTGTCAAGAAGGGCAGCAAAGAAGCCACTTCTCTCCAGGAAAAACATCAGGGACAGACTGATATTCTGCAAAAGGTACAGGGATTGGACTGCTGAGGACTGGGGTAAAGTCATTTTCTCTGATGAATCCCCTTTCCGATTGTTTGGGGCATCCGGAAAACACATTGTCCGGAGAATAATAATAATAATAATAATAATAATAATAATAATAATAATATGCCATTTAGCAGACGCTTTTATCCAAAGCGACTTACAGTCATGCTTGCATAATTTTTTTTTGTGTATGGGTGGTCCCGGGGATCGAACCCACTACCCTGGCGTTACAAGCGCCGTGCTCAACCAGCTGAGCTACAGAGGACCACTGTGAAGAGAAGACAAGGTGAGCGCTACCATGAGTCCTGTGTCATGCCAACAGTAAAGCATCCTGAGACCATTCATGTGTGGGGTTGCATCTCAGCCAAGGGAGTGGGCTCACTCACAATTTTGCCTAAGAACACAACCATGAATAAAGAATGGTACCAACACATCCTCCGAGAGCAACTTCTCCCAACCATCCAAGAACAGATTGGTGATGACCAATACCTTTTCCAGCATGATGGAGCACCTTGCCATAAGGCAAAAGTGATAACTAAGTGGCTTGGGGAACAAAACATCGAAATTTTGGGTCCATGGCCAGGAAACTCCCCAGACATTAATCCCATTGAGAACTTGTGGTCGATCCTCAAGAGGCAGGTGGACAAACAAAAACACACAAATTCTGACAAACTCCAAGCATTGATTATGCAAGAATGGGCTGCCATCAGTCAGGATGTGGCCCAGAAGTTAATTGACAGCATGCCAGGGTGGATTGCAGAGGTCTTGAAAAAGAAGGGTCAACACTGCAAATATTGACTCTTTGCATACACTTAATGTAATTGTCAATAAAAGCCTTTGACACTTATGGAATGCTTGTAATTATACTTCAGTATACCATACTAATATCTGACAAAAATATCTCATAACACTGAAGCAGCGAACTTTGTGAAGACCAATACTTGTGTCATTCTCAAAACTTTTGACCACGACTGTACAGTTGAAGTCGGAAGTTTACATACAGTGGGGGAAAAAAGTATTTAGTCAGCCACCAATTGTGCATGTTCTCCCACTTGAAAAGATGAGAGAGGCCTGTAATTTTCATCACAGGTACACGTCAACTATGACAGACAAAATGAGAAAAGAAAATCCAGACAATCACATTGTAGGATTTTTGATGAATTTATTAGCAAATTATGGTGGAAAATAAGTATTTGGTCAATAACAAAAGTTTCTCAATACTTTGTTATATACCCTTTGTTGGCAATGACACAGGTCAAACGTTTTCTGTAATTCTTCACAAGGTTTTCACACACTGTTGCTGGTATTTTGGCCCATTCCTCCATGCAGATCTCCTCTAGAGCAGTGATGTTTTGGGGCTGTCGCTCGGCAACACGGACCTTCAACTCCCTCCAAAGATTTTCTATGGGGTTGAGATCTGGAGACTGTCTAGGCCACTCCAGGACCTTGAAATGCTTCTTACGAAGCCACTCCTTCGTTGCCCGGGCGGTGTGTTTGGGATCATTGTCATGCTGAAAGACCCAGCCACGTTTCATCTTCAATGCCCTTGCTGATGGAAGGAGGTTTTCACTCAAAATCTCACGATACATGGCCCCATTCATTTTTTCCTTTACACGGATCAGTCGTATTGGTCCATTTGCAGAAAAACAGCCCCAAAGCATGATGTTTCCACCCCCATGCTTCACAGTAGGTATGGTGTTCTTTGGATGCAACTCTGCATTCTTTGTCCTCCAAACACGACGAGTTGAGTTTTTACCAAAGAGTTCTATTTTCGTTTCATCGGACCATATGACATTCTCCCAATCCTCTTCTGGTTCATCCAAATGCACTATAGCAAACTTCAGACGGGCCTGGACATGTACTGGCTTAAGCAGGGGGACACGTCTGGCACTGCAGGATTTGAGTCCCTGGCGGCGTAGTGTGTTACTGATGGTAGGCTTTGTTACTTTGGTCCCAGCTCTCTGCAGGTCATTCACTAGGTCCCCCCGTGTGGTTCTGGGATTTTTGCTCACCGTTCTTGTGATCATTTTGACCCCACGGGGTGAGATCTTGCGTGGAGCCCAAGATCGAGGGAGATTATCAGTGGTCTTGTATGTCTTCCATTTCCTAATAATTGCTCCCACAGTTGATTTCTTCAAACCAAGCTGCTTACCTATTGCAGATTCAGTCTTCCCAGCCTGGTGCAGGTCTACAATTTTGTTTCTGGTGTCCTTTGACAGCTCTTTGGTCTTGGCCATAGTGGAGTTTGGTGTGTGACTGTTTGAGGTTGTGGACAGGTGTCTTTTATACTGATAACAAGTTCAAACAGGTGCCATTAATACAGGTAACGAGTGGAGGACAGAGGAGCCTCTTAAAGAAGTTGTTACAGGTCTGTGAGAGCCAGAAATCTTGCTTGTTTGTAGGTGACCAAATACTTATTTTCCACCATAATTTGCAAATATATAAATTAAAAATCCTACAATTGAGATTTTCTGGATTTTTTTTTCTCAATTTGTCTGTCATAGTTGACATGTACCTATGATGAAAACTACAGGCCTCTCTCATCTTTTTAAAGTGGGAGAACTTGCACAATTGGTGGCTGACTAAATACTTTTTTTCCCCCACTGTACACCTTAGCCAAATACATTTAAACTCAGTTTTTCACAATTCCTGACATTTAATCCTAGTAAACATTCCCTATCTTAGGTCAGTTAGGATCACCACTTTATTTTAAGAATGTGAAATGTCAGAATAATAGTAGAGAGAATAATTTATTTCAGCTTTTATTTATTTCATCACATTCCCAGTGGGTCAGAAGTTTACAAAACACTCAATTAGTATTTGGTAGCATTGCCTTTAAATTGTTTAACTTGGGTCAAACGTTTCGGGTAGCTTTCCACAAGCTTCACACAATAAGTTGGGTGAATTTTGGCCCATTCCTCCTGACAGAGCTGGTGTAACTGAGTCAGGTTTGTAGGCCTCCTTGCTCAAACACGCTTTTTATAATAATAATAATAATAATAATAATAATAATAATATGCCATTTAGCAGACGCTTTTATCCAAAGCGACTTACAGTCATGCATGCATACATTTTTTTTTTTTTTTGTGTATGGGTGGTCCCGGGGATCGAACCCACTACCTTGGCGTTACAAGCACTGTGCTCTACCAGCTGAGCTACAGAGGACCGCCCACACATTTTCTATAGGATTGAGGTCAAGGCTTTGTGATGACCACTCCAATACCTTGACTTTGTTGTCCTTAAGCCATTTTGCCACAACTTTGGAAGTATGCTTGGGGTCATTGTCCATTTGGAAGACCAATTTGCGACCAAGCTTTAACTTCCTGACTGATGTCTTGAGATGTTGCTTCAATATATATCCACATAATTTTCCTTCCTCATGATGCCATCTATTTTGTGAAGTGCACCAGTCCCTCCTGCAGCAAAGCACCCCCACAGCATGATGCTGCCACCCCCGTGCTTCACGGTTGGGATGGTGTTCTTCGGCTTGCAAGCTACCACCTTTTTCCTTCAAACATAACGATGGTCATTATGGCCAAACAGTTCTATTTTTGTTTCATCAGACCAGAGGACATTTCTCCAAAAAGTACGATCTTTGTCCCCATGTGCAGTTGCAAACCGTAGTCTGGCTTTTTTTATGGTGATATTGGAGCAGTGGCTTCTTCCTTGCTGAGCCGCCTTTCAGGTTATGTTGATATAGGACTTGTTTTACTGTGGATATAAATTATTTTGTACCTGTTTCATCCAGCATCTTCACAATGTCCTTTGCTGTTGTTCTGGGATTTATTTGCACCTTTCACACCAAAGTACATTCATCTGAGTTTAAAGGTAGGCTTTGAAATACATCCATAGGTACAACTCCAATTGACTCAAGCTTCTAAAGCCATGACATCATTTTCTGGAATTTTCCAAGCTGTTTTTAAAGGCACAATCAACTTGGTGTATGTAAACTTCTGACCCACTGGAATTTGATACAGTGAATAATAAGTGAAATAATCTGTCTGTAAACAATTGTTGGAAAAATTACTTGTGTTATGCACAAAGTAGATGTCCTAACCAACTTGCCAAAACTATAGTTTGTTAAGAAGAAATTTGTGGAGTGGTTGAAAAACGAGTTTTAATGACTCCAACCTAAGTGTATGTAAACTTCCGACTTCAACTGTATTGATGGAGCATAATGCATTTGTTTTATTCATATGTTTTCATGTACTGGTGACAAATCATGCATTCCCATTCTTGCATAGATTGCAATGGACACATATGATGTGTGTAAAATACTTTTTTGAAGAAGGTTGTACAGATTATGATGTGCTAATGCTAAGCTATTTGCCAGCTATGTGTGGCACCATGTTTGTTGACATCATACAATGCAATCTGGTTGTCACGTAAACGTCTGTCAGACCAAAGATGTTATAACAAAACGAGGTGAAGGGATGGTTCACTCGACTGACTTAGATTATAACTATGGTACCTCAGGGTTGCCAGCTCAAACCCCCCCTTTCCAGGCTCTTTATTTTCATTTAGCTTATAAACATCTCCTGTGTTTGCCCCCCATTTACTGATAAATCCCACGTCATAGTAATATTTCCTGCATCATATCCCCCCACGATGTCTTCCCCAATTTCTACCCCCCATGGACTTGAAACCCCCCCACAAATTAAATTAGGCTAGGCAGTAGGCTTGTATTTGGGGTGATGATCTGTGAGGTGATAACATTTGATTTGCTTTGTGTTTGTCAAAAACGGTAAACAACTTGTCAAGTAATGTGCTCCGGTTCTTGTATACACTGTAACAAGTCCATCGAAGATTTGTAATATACTGAAAAATGGCAAACTAAGTTCATATTTTTAGGTCAACGGGGGCAGCCATTTTTTTTACTTTGACACATACACTGTTTGCACAATTATTAGGCAAGTTGTATGTTTGAGGATTGATGTTATTATCGAATAACTACAGTGCTCTCGGTCAATCCAAAATGTTAATAAACCTCAAACCTGAATATTTAAGTAAGTAAAAGTGAGGTTTTGGCTTTCTTTGGAGAATACAGTGAGGGAAAAAAGTATTTGATCCCCTGCTGATTTTGTACGTTTGCCCACTGACAAAGACATGATCAGTCTATAATTTTAATGGTAGGTTTATTTGAACAGTGAGAGACAGAATAACAACAACAAAAATGTATAAATTGATTTGCATTTTAATTAGGGAAATAAGTATTTAACCCCTCTGCAAAACATGACTTAGTACTTGGTGGCGAAACTCTTGTTGGCAATCACAGAGGTCAGACGTTTCTTGTAGTTGGCCACCAGGTTTGCACACATCTCAGGAGGGATTTTGTTCCACTTCTCTTTGCAGATCTTCTCCAAGTCATTAAGGTTTCGAGGCTGATGTTTGGCAACTAAAACCTTCAGCTCCCTCCACAGATTTTCTATGGGATTAAGGTCTGGAGACTGGCTAGGCCACTCCAGGACCTTAATGTGCTTCTTCTTGAGCCACTCCTTTGTTGCCTTGGCCGTGTGTTTTGGGTCATTGTCATGCTGGAATACCCATCCACGACTCATTTTCAATGCCCTGGCTGAGGGAAGGAGGTTCTCACCCAAGATTTGACGGTACATGGCCCCGTCCATCGTCCCTTTGATGCGGTGAAGTTGTCCTGTCCCCTTAGCAGAAAAACACCCCCAAAGCATAATGTTTCCACCTCCATGTTTGACGGTGGGGATGGTGTTCTTGGGGTCATAGGCAGCATTCCTCCTCCTCCAAACACGGCGAGTTGAGTTGATACCAAAGAGCTCCATTTTGGTCTCATCTGACCATTACACTTTCACCCAGTTCTCCTCTGAATCATTCAGATATTCATTGGCAAACTTCAGACGGCCCTGTATATGTGCTTTCTTGAGCAGGGGGACCTTGCGGGCGCTGCAGGATTTCAGTCCTTCACGGCGTAGTGTGTTACCAATTGTTTTCTTGGTGACTATGGTCCCAGCTTCCTTGAGATCATTGACAAGATCCTCCCATGTAGTTCTGGGCTGATTCCTCACCATTCTCATGCTCATTGCAACTCCACAAGGTGAGATCTTGCATGGAGCCCCAGGCCGAGGGAGATTGACAGTTATTTTGTGTTTCTTCCATTTGCAAATAATCGCACCAACTGTTGTCACCTTCTCACCAAGCTGCTTGGCGATGGTCTTGTAGCCCATTCCAGCCTTGTGTAGGTCTACAATCTTGTCCCTGACATCCTTGGAGAGCTCTTTGGTCTTGGCCATGGTGGAGAGTTTGGAATCTGATTGATTGATTGCTTCTGTGGACAGGTCTCTTTTATACAGGTAACAAACTGAGATTAGGAGCACTCCCTTTAAGAGTGTGCTCCTAATCTCAGCTCGTTACCTGTATAAAAAGACACCTGGGAGCCAGAAATCTTTCTGATTGAGAGGGGATCAAATACTTTTTTCCATCACTGTATCTATGTGTGCACAATTATTGGGCAACTATTAGTGTGTACAATTATTATGCAACTAAATGAAAAACGAAAAGTTCCCCATCTCACTTGTTTATTTTCATCTGTTAAAGTGAGAATAATAAACAAACAACTCAAAATTTACAAATAAACATTTCTGACATTTCAAAAAAGAATCAGTGACCAATATAGCCACCTTTCTTTTCAATAACAGTCATAAGCCTTCCATCCATGGAGTCTGTCAGTTTCTTGATCTGTTGATGATCAACTCTTTGTGCAGCAGCAACCACAGCCTCCCAGACACTGGTCAGAGAGGTGTACTGTTTTCCTTCACCGTAAATCGACCGTTTAAGAAGGGACCACAAGTTCTCAATAGGGTTTAGGTCAGGTGAGGAAGGGGGCCATGTCATTATTCTTTCATCTTTAAGGCCTTTACTGGCTGGCCAAGCAGTGGAGTACTTCGATGCATGCGATGGAGCATTGTTCTGCATTAAAATCATGGTCTTCTTGAAAGATGCAGACTTTTTCCTGTACCACTGCTTGAAGAAAGTGTCTTCTAAAAACTGGCAGTAGGTTTGGGAGTTGAGTTTGAGTCCATCTTCAACCCGAAAAGGTCCAACTAGCTCATCTTTAATAATACCAGTCCATACCAGTACCCCACCCCCACCTTGCTGGCGGCTGAGTCGAAGTGGAGCTCCGTGCCCGTTACTGATCCAGCCACGGGCCCATCCGTCTGGTCCGTCAAGAGTCACTCTCATCAGTCCATAAAACCTGTCTTCAGATATTTCTTGGCCGAGTCTTGACGTTTCAACTTATGTGTCTTGTTCAGTGGTGGTAGGGTTTCAGCCTTCCTTACCTTGGCCATGTCTCTGAGCACTGAACACCTTGTACTTCTGGGCACTCCAGGTAGGTTGCAGTTCTGGAATATGACAGCACTGGAGGATAATGGGTTCCTGGTAGCTTCACGTTTGATTCTTCTCAAATTCTTGGCAGTTAATTTGAGTCTTTTTTTCTCAACACGGTTCTTGCGAACCTGTTGACTATTTGCAACAAAACGTTCGATGGTTCTGTATTCACGCCCCAATATCTTAGCAATTTCAAGAGTGCTGCATCCCTCTGAAATACTTTTTTACAATTGCTGACTTTTCAGAGTCAGTTAAATCTCTTTTTTGGCCCATTTTGCCTGAGGAAAAGAAGCTGCCTAATAATTATACACACCTTGATATAGGGTGTTGATCTCCTTAGGCCACACCCTCCCTCATTACACAAATACACATCACCTGATATGCTTAAATCCAATAAGCATTCCAGTTTATACAGCTTGGTGTTCAGAAATATGCATAATAATGATGATATGGTCAAAATAGTGACTTGCCTAATAATTGTGCACACAGTGTATATGTGATCGTACGCATTAAAGGTTAAAGGGTTAGTTGTCTGTGCCAGCTCAACCCATTACAGGTGGTCTCTCTTAAACTGATCTCAGGTGAGTTTGGGGGACGAGGCCACCGTATGGGTTTACAGTCTCCTGCCCTCTTGTGTGAGAAGATGGTTGTCTCGCAAACACTCACCCCGATACTTATCCGAGGTCAGCCAGTGGTCTGATAACATCCAGCAGTATGGTGTTACGCCACCTGTCTGATAAGGCCAGAGTCACAGCCCACTGGCCACTCTAGGTTATGTAGCTACACAGGGCTGTCATGGGTTACGCTCATGCCATCATGTCATGTCATGGCTGGATGTTTTTCACACCCAGGCAGGTTGCTGGAAGTGACACACACAGAGATAAGTGTGGGCAGAAGCACACTTAAACTCAGTGAGATTATATCTATTCACGCAGTGTTAAAAAGCCCCCAGCTAATCAGATATTGAGTGGCTGATTCATTACCAGCTCACAGAGCAATCACTGTATGAGATAGCCTAGCGCTTAGGCCTATGTATAATTTATTTCATAATAACAGTGCAATTGACAATAATAACCTCACTAGATCTGTCACACTGGAGTATAACAATTAGGCCAAAGGAACATATTCATAGGCAGGGGGCCTACATGATTTCAACCATCTGTTCTGGTGTTTCACAAATTGCCTCCATCAAGTGATCAAATGGAGGAAATGTCTTACCTTCACATTGTCTGACTTCATCTCGGTCTCTACATAGAGTCCCTTCATGAAGCCAGTGGTCCGGATCACCTGTAGGAGAGAGGATAGAACGCATTACAGGGATTGACGTGAAGGGTTGCTCTATTGTCACGGGCAAGTGAACTGAGCAGTCGGGCAAGTTGAGCCTGCTCTGAAGTTGCACCAGGTGATTTGTTTTTGGACTGAATTCCAGTAGCCTTCTTTCTGGTTCATCCCCATTGTTTAAATGAAAGATGGCCAATTTATGGCAGCTGGGCAAGTTGAGCCTGCTCAGTGGTATCCCCATTAGGCAGGTTATTTTTAAAGACTGAATTCCAGTAGCCTAACATAGGGGCTACACTGTTTTTTGTTGTTGTTTTTTACTGCTACACTCGGAAGCGTAACTTTTAGTCAGCGCGAGCAGAGCGCTAGCCACTAGGCCTATGTCCTATTCCTCTCGGCCTTGAGCTGCACGTCGGAATGTTTAAAATAGAACCAAAACGACATTTTAAAAAAATACTGCTGACTTGTCCGATGGGCAAGTGCCTTTCAGACCTTAATGTCAATCCTTGCACTGCCAAATTAGCAAGCCACTATGGTTGAAATGTTCATTGCAAAATGGCATGACTGATTATATGCTGTCCATATTGAAATTATGGTCAACAGAAATCATATTTATTTATAAATAAGACAGATTAACAAGCAGGAGGTAACTTCTATACAATTAGCATAATTTTGATTCAGTGGGGGAAAACACTTGGATAATCAGTACAATGGAGTCACGCTTGCTAACACATATCATCAAATATGCATGAGCATATACTGAAAGGTGAAACAAACTGAACTGAAGGAGGAGAGAGAGAGAAAGAGTGAACAGACTACCTATTGAATGGGGTTAAAGAGTTTACTCAACTCTGCTGAGCCTGGTATAGCCTGTGGCACAGACCCAGCCACTGGCAAACCCTCTACCAGGGAAGCCTTTTGGGTCATTCCAGGGCTCTCCCTGGAATATATATAACACAGAATTACTCTTGCCTGGCCCTCAACCCCGAGACTACGGCTTAGGACACAAACAAGTACAAGAAGTCCTGCTACGACCTCCACAGAGCCATCAAACAAGCAAAAGGACAATATGTGACTGACCGCCTCGATTTGGTCTTATGCAGCAAATTTTTAAATTGTGTTTTTTTACATTGGATAAAAGTACAGACTTAGAGCCAGAAAATGGTATGTCATACGCTGCAGTTGAGGAACAATGGGAAAGTAATTCTGCTTTGAAAGTTGGTAAACTTGTAACCCCACTTTTGAGAAAACGGCCTTTGAATGTTTTGGCACACCTACTGGAGAGCTCCTCTTTGTCTTCACCTATTAAGCAACCTTCACGCCCTCTTAAGCCTTAGCCCCACCCATCTCTAAGGATTCACATGAGGCCATGTGCTAAACAGTGTGAGTAAGATAGTGTAGTAAACAACCAAAGATTTCAAGACTAAAAGTGGTGAAAGTAGTAGCCTACAATAAGGAAAAACTCCAGGTAAAAATACACTTTATCTAGTGCTTGGCCTATATCCTAATCTGACTTTGGTGCAGGTAATGTTGTTCTTCACATTACCGTCTCTGGTAAACACACACTTTATCAAATAAAATCTAAGTTTATTTGTCACATGCACAAGATACAGAAGATGTAAATGATACAGTGAAATGTTTACTTGCATATTTGGATAGTAGCAATATCAAATATAGAAAGTGTTTAGAAAAAAGATGAAAGTAGGGAAAAAGATGAAAACGCTAATGCACATTCTGACTGAGTGACACCAAACTTGGCTGCAAATTGAGGACTCACAAACACAAACCCCATTGCGTGCTGCTTCTAATCTGCATGTTGTTTACAGTGAGAACGTGCAGGGAGGTATTTTGCCAACATCTATTTAGGCATCTTAAAACACTTCAGTTTTTTCCAATCACGAGTATCATCCGATCTGACTATCAACTGTACATTTACGGATACGATTACGAATATGAGTATGGCCATGTCGGCACACCCCTACCAGACACACTTGTCTAAATTGATGGGTCATGTGAAATAAATGCTATAACCACCCCCCCAGCCACATTTAGCTACAGTTGAAGTCGGAAGTTTACATACACTTAGGCTGGAGTCATTAAAACTCATTTTTCAACCATTCCACAAATTTCTTGTTAACAAACTATAGTTTTGGCAAGTCGGTTAGGACATCTACTTTGTGCATGACACAAGTCATTTTTCCAACAATTGTTTACAGACAGATTATTTCACTGTATCACAATTCCAGTGGGTCAGAAGTTTATAATAATAATAATAATAATAATAATAATAAATAATATTCCATTTAGCAGACGCTTTTATCCAAAGCGACTTACAGTCATGTGCGCATACATTTTTACGTATGGGTGGTCCCGGAGATCGAACCCACTACCCTGGCGTTACAAGCGCCATGCTCTACCAATTGAGCTACAGAGGACCACAAACACTAAGTTGACTGTGCCTTTAAACAGCTTGGAAAATTCCAGAAAAAGTCATGTTTTAGAAGCTTCTGATAGGCTAATTGACATCATTTGAGTCAATTGGAGGTGTACCCGTGGATGTATTTCAAGGCCTACCTTCAAACTCAGTGCCTCTTTGCTTGACATCATGGGAAAATCAAAAGAAATCAGCCAAGACCTCAGAAAAAGATTTGTAGACCTCCACAAGTCTGGTTCATCCTTGGGAGCAATTTCCAAACGCCTGAAGGTACCACGTTCATCTGTACAAACCATAGTACGCAAGTATAAACACCATGGAACCACGCAGCCGTCATACCGCTCAAGGAGACGCGTTCTGTCTCCTAGAGATGAACGTACTTTGGTGCGAAAAGTGCAAATCAATCCCAGAACAACAGCAAAGGACCTTGTGAATATGCTGGAGGAAACAGGTACAAAAGTATCTATAGCCACAGTAAAACTAGTCCTATATCGACATAACCTGAAAGGCCGCTCAGCAAGGGAGAAGCCACTGCTCCAAAAACCGCCATAAAAAAGCCAGACTACGGTTTGCAACTGCACATGGGGACAAAGACTGTACTTTTTGGAGAAAAGTCCTCTGATCTGATGAAGCAAAAATAGAACTGTTTGGCCATAATGACCATCGTTATGTTTGGAGGAAAAAGGGGGTTGCTTGCAAGCCAAAGAAAACCATCCCAACCGTGAAGCACGGGGCGGCAGCATCATGCTGTGGGGGTGCTTTGCTGCAGGAGGGACTGGTGCACTTCACAAAATAGATGGCATCATGAGGAAGGAAAATTATGTGGATATATTGAAGCAACATCTCAAGACATCAGTCAGGAAGTTAAAGCTTGGTCGCAAATTGGTCTTCCAAATGGACAATGACCCCAAGCATACTTCCAAAGTTGTGGCAAAATGGCTTAAGGACAACAAAGTCAAGGTATTGGAGTGGCCATCACAAAGCCTTGACCTCAATCCTATAGAAAATGTGTGGGCGGAACTGAAAAAGCGTGTTTGAGCAAGGAGGCCTACAAACCTGACTCAGTTACACCAATTCACCCAACTTATTGTGGGAAGCTTGTGGAAGTCTACCCGAAACGTTTGACCCAAGTTAAACCATTTAAAGGCAATGCTACCAAATACTAATTGAGTGTTTTGTAAACTTCCGACCCACTGGGAATGTGATGAAATAAATAAAAGATGAAATAAATCTCTACTATTATTCTGACATTCTTCAAATAAAGTGGTGATCCTAACTGACCTAAAACAGGGAATTTTTACTAGGATTAAATGTCAGGAATTGTGAAAAACTGAGTTTAAATGTATTTGGCTAAGGTGTATGTAAACTCCCGACTTCAACTGTAAGTGGATGGGTCACTATTGTCTAGACATGTACACATGTTCCTGAAATACAATAGATGGCCGTAATCACTCCCAGACACACCTGGCTAACTTGATGGGTCATGTAATCATCTGGCGAAGTAGAATCTTTTGTTTAGACATGTAGCTAGCTAGCTAAACAATGAACCATAATCCCAACACATACTACTAGCAATACAAACTGATTGTCATAGCTAGCCAACCATGCATGAAATGCTGTAGTAACTAGGTTCAATGTTAGCTAGCTAGCTAACATTACGCTATAACTAGCAAGATGGCATACATGTTTGTTATTAAGGCATATGAAAGTTCATATGTTCGAGAAGGCATTTCTGCAACAAAATAAATCAAATGCCTCTCCTGTGAAGTAGTGATGTGCGACATACCCCTAGCTTCCTGAAACGGGGTCACAAATAGGAACCTGCCGCACATGGCAGAGGCTACAGTCCATTACAGATTACAAAGGAAGACCCAGCTGTGATGCCTCTCTACCAGACAAACTCAATGCATTTGATGTACGCTTCGACAAAAACAACACTGAGCCATGCAAGAGGTCCCCCGCTGACCCAGAGAACAGGGTGATCTTACTCTCCGAGGCTGACGTGAGCAAGGTTTTAAATGAGGTTAACACTCGCAAGGCCGCGGTACCACACGGTATTCCAGTGCACGTTCTCAGAGCATGTGCAGAAGAGCTGGCAGGCATATTCACGGTAATCCCCACATCTCAAACTGACCACCATCATTCCTATTCCCAAAAACTCTAAGGCTACCTGCCACAATGACTACTGCCCTGTAGCACTGCAATCTCCAATCATGAAGTGCTTTGAAAGGCTGAATATAGCACACATCAACATAATGTAAGTAAACACACACCGCCCTAACAGATCCCTCAGCAAGCATTGCCAGTCTGCACACACACACACACACACACACACACACACACACACACACACACACGTGTGAAATTACAGATGCTCATTCTATTTTTGTTTGTTTGATACAGTTGAAGTCGGAAGTTCACATACACCTTAGCCAAATACATTTAAACTCAGTTTTTCACAATTCCTGACATTTAATCCTAGTAAAACGTTCCTGTCTTAGGTCAGTTAGGATCACCACTTTATTTTAAGAATGTGAAATGTCAGAATAATAGTAGCGAGAATGATTTATTTCAGCTTTTTTGGGTCAAACGTTTTGGGTAGCCTTCCACAAGCTTCCCAAAATAAGTTGGGTGAATTTTGGCCCATTCCTCCTGACAGAGCTGGTGTAACTGAGTCAGGTTTGTAGGCCTCCTTGCTCAAACACGCTTTTTCAGTTCTGCCCACAAATGTTCTATAGGATTTAAGTCAGGGATTTGTGATAGCCACTCCAATACCTTGACTTTGTTGTCCTTAAGCCATTTTGCCACAACTTTGGAAGTATGCTTGGGGTCATTGTCCATTTGGAAGACCAATTTGCGACCAAGCTTTAACTTCCTGACTGATGTCTTGAGATGCTGCTTCAATATATCCACATAATTTTCCTTCCTCATGATGCCATCTATTTTCTGAAGTGCACCAGTCCCTCCTGCAGCAAAGCACCCCCGTGCTTCACGGTTGGGATGGTGTTCTTCGGCTTGCAAGAAACCCCTTTTTCCTCCAAACATAACGATGGTCATTATGGCCAAACAGTTCTATTTTTGTTTCATCAGACCAGAGGAAGGTTCTCCAAAAAGTATGATCTTTGTCCCCATGTGCAGTTGCAAACCGTAGTCTGGCTTTTTTATGGCAGTTTTGGAGCAGTGGATTCTTCCTTGCTGAGTGGCCTTTCAGGTTATGTTGATATAGGACTCGTTTTACTGTGGATATAGATACTTTTGTACCTGTTTCCTCCAGCATCTTCACAAGGTCCTTTGCTGTTGTTCTGGGATTGATTTTCACGTTTTGCACCAAAGTACGTTCATTTCTAGGAGACAGAACGCCTCTCCTTCCTGAGCGGTATGACGGCTGCGTGGTCCCATGGTGTTTATACTTGCGTACTATGGTTTGTACAGATGAACATGGTACCTTTAGGCGTTTGGAAATGGCTCCCAAGGATGAACCAGTCTTGTGGAGGTCTACCATTTTTTTGAGGTCTTAGCTGATTTCCTTAGATTGTCCCATGATGTCAAGCAAAGAGGCACTGAGTTTGAAGGTAGGCCTTGAAATACATCCACAGGTACACCTCCAATTGACTCAGATGATGTCAATTAGCCTATCAGAAGTTTCTAAAGCCATGACATCGTTTTCAGCATAGTGGGTCAATTTCCGCAACAACTAAGAGCGTTGAAACGCGAGGCTCAACTTATCCACTGTTTTGGTGCCCTGGCTACCACGCTCTAACAGCGTGAAGTGATTGGTACCCGTGCACATGTGCAGATACTGTGTGAGAGCGAAGTCTTGCATTTCGCTCATCTCAAAATCTGCGATGTTGCTCGTGGCAACGTCCTTTCGCTGAGTCTACCTTTAATAGGCCTGTATTCTTTGCATGTTCACTACGAACTATGGCACTTAAGATCCACCTACAGTAATGACATCTTCCTGTATGGAATGTTTTATCTTAGATGCTAATAAATAGGCAAAAGACCCAACCAAGAATCTGTTTGGAAAGAGGTTTGTTGTCTATGCATTTACAGTGCATTCGGAAAGTATTCAGACCCCTTGACTTTTTCCAACATTTTGTTATGTTACAGCCATATTCTAAAATTGATTAAATTATTTTTTCCCTCATCAATTTACACACAATACCCCATAATAACAAAGCAAAAACAGATTTGTAGAAAGTTTTGCAAATGTATTAAAAATGTCAAACTGAAAATACATTTAAATAAGTATTCAGACCCTTTACTCAGTGCTTTGTTGAAGCACCTTTGGCAGCGATTCCTGCCTTGAGTCTTCTTGGGTTTGACGCTACAAGCTTGGCACACCTGTATTTGGGGAGTTTCTCCCATTCTTCTCTGCAGATCCTCTCAAGCTCTGTCAGGTTGGATGGGGAGCGTTGTTGCACAGCTATTTTCAGGTCTCTCCAGAGATGTTAGATCGGGTTCAAGTCCAGGCTCTGACTGGGCCACTCGAGGACATTCAGAGACTTGTCTCGAAGCCAATCCTGCGTAGTCTTGGCTGTGTGCTCAGGGTCGATGTCCTGTTGGAAGGTGAACCTTTGCCCCAGTCTGAGGTCCTGAGCACTCTGGAGCAGGTAATCATCAAGGATCTCTCTGTACTTTGCTATGTTCATCTTTGCCTTGATCCTGACTAGTCTCCCAGTCCCTGCTGCTGAAAAACATCCCCATAGCATGATGCTGCCACCACCATGCTTCACCGTAGGGATGGTGCCAGATTTCCACCAGACGTGACGCTTGGCATTCAGGCCAAAGAGTTCAATCTTGGTTTCATCAGACCAGAGAATCTTGTTTCTCATGGTCTGAGAGTCTTTAGGTGCCTTTTGGCAAACTCCAAGCGGGCTGTCATGTGTCTTTTACTGAGGAGTGGCTTCCGTCTGGCCACTCTCCCATAAAGACCTGATTGGTGAAGTGCTGCAGAGATGGTTGTCCTTCTGGAAGGTTCTCCCATCTCCACAGAGGAACACTGGAGCTCTGTCAGAGTGACCATCGGGTTCTTGGTCACCTCCCTGACCAAGGCCCTTCTCCCCCGATTGCTCAGTTTGGCCGGGCGGCCAGCTCTAGGAAGAGTCTTGGTGGTTCCAAACTTCTTCCATTTAATAATGATGGAGGCCACTGAGTTCTTGGGGACCTTCAATGCTGCAGAAAAGTTTTGGTACCTTTCCCCAGATCTGTGCCTCGACACAATCCTGTCTCAGAGCTCTACGGACAATTCCTTCGACCTCATGGCTTGGTTTTTACTCTGACATGCACTGTCAACTGTGGGACCTTATATAGACAGGTGTGTGCCTTTCCAAATCATTTCCAATCAATTGAATTTACCACAGGTGGACTCCAATCAAGTTGTAGAAACATCTCAAGGATGATCAATGGAAACAGGATGCTCAATTTCAAGTCTCAGAGCAAAGTGTCTAAATACTTATGTAAATAAGGTATTTCTGTTCTTTATTTTTATTTTTTTATGCAAACATTTCTAAAAACCTGTTTTCGCTTTGTCATTATGGGGTATTGTGTGTAGATTGCTGAGGAAAAAATAATATTTAATCAATTTTAGAATAAGGCTGTAACGTAACAAAATTTGGAAAAAGTCAAGGGGTCTGAATACTTTCCGAAGGCACAGTATGAACACTTGCAATCTCACGTTTGCTAGAGTAGCTATCAGGAAGGTTAGCCGCCGCCACCATATACACACACATATTGTGCAGCCTAAGGGAGAGGTAAAGGTTTGGTGAGTCTAGCATATAAGTTCTGGGAAGAGCTGCGAATGTCCATTGAAATGCATTGAATTTATGCATATATTGCTATGGTAAAAAAAAAAATAATATGAAATAGTGTCAAATAGATGCTCAGGTAATCTAGTTTGAAGCTACCCAAAGGTGTTCGATGGGGTTGAGGTCATGGCTCTGTGCAGGCCAGTCAAGTTCTTCCACACCGATCTTAACAAACCGTTTCTGTATGGACCTGGCTTTGTGCACGGGGGCATTGTCATGCAGAAACAAGAAAGGGCCTTCCCCAAACTGTTGCCACAAAGTTGGAAGCACAGATTTGTCTAGAATATCATTGAGCCATAGCCCAATGGCGGCGAGCTTTACAACACTCCAGCCGACCATGGTGATCTTAGGCTTGTGTACGGCCATGGAAACCCATTTCATGAAGCTCCCAACGAACAGTTATTGAACTGACGTTGCTTCCAGAGGCAGTTTGGAACTCGGTAGTGAGTGTTGCAACTGAAGACAGACGATTTGTACGCACTACGCGCTTCATCACTCGGCGGTCCCGTTCTGTGAGCTTGTGTGGCCTACCACTTCACGGCTTAGCCGTTGTTGCTCCTAGACGTTTCCAATTCACAATAACATCAATAATAGTTGACCGGGGCAGCTCTAGCAGGGCTGAAATTTGACAAACTGACTTATTGTAAAGGTGGCATCCTATGACGGTGCTACATTGAGCTCTTCAGTAAGGCCATTCTACTGCCAATGTTTGTCTATGGTGATTGCATGGCTGTGTGCTTGATTCTATACATCTGTCAGCAACGGGTGAGGCTGAAATAGCTGAATCCACTCATTTGAAGGGGTGTCCACATACTTTTGTATATATAGTGTATTTCATTTTAACATGCTCATATTATTGTATAACCCCTGAAAATGTTGATAGGACATTCCTATCTTGAGATATTTGAGTCCACCTTTTTATTTTTTTTCACCTTTATTTAACCAGGTAAGCCAGTTGAGAACAAGTTCTCATTTACAACTGCGACCTGGCCAAGATAAAGCAAAGCAGTGCGATAAAAACAACACAGAGTTACATATGGGGTAAAAAAAACAAAGTAAAAAAATACAATAGAAAATATATATACAGTGTGTGCAAATGTAGCAAGTTATGGAGGTAAGGCAATAAATAGGCTATAGTGCAAAATAATTACAATAGTATTAACACTGGAATGCTAGATGTGCAAGAGATTATGTGCAAATAGAGATACTGGAGTGCAAAAGAGCAAAATAAATAACAATATAGGGATGAGGTAGTTGGGTGGGCTAATTTCAGATGGGCTGTGTACAGGTGCAGTGATCGGTAAGGTGCTCTGACAACTGATGCTTAAAGTTAGTGAGGGAGATAAGAGTCTCCAGCTTCAGAGATTTTTGCAATTCGTTCCAGTCATTGGCAGCAGAGAACTGGAAGGAATGGCGGCCAAAGGAGGTGTTGGCTTTGGGGATGACCAGTGAGATATACCTGCTGGAGCGCAGACTAAGGGTGGGTGCTGCTATGGTGACCAATGAGCTAAGATAAGGCAGGGATTTGCCTAGCAGTGATTTATAGATGGCCTTGAGCCAGTGGGTTTGACGACGAACATGTAGTGAGGACCAGCCAACAAGAGTGTACAGGTCACAGTGGTGGGTAGTGTATGGGGCTTTGGAGACAAAACGGATGGCACTGTGATAGACTACATCCAATTTGCTGAGTAGAGTGTTGGAGGCTATTTTGTAAATGACATCGCCGAAGTCAAGGATCGGTAGGATAGTCAGTTTTACGAGGGCATGTTTGGCAGCATGAGTGAAGGAGGCTTTGTTGCGAAATAGGAAGCCGATTCTAGATTTAACTTTGGATTGGAGATTCTTAATGTGAGTCTGGAAGGAGAGTTTACAGTCTAACCAGACACCTAGGTATTTGTAGTTGTCCACATACTCTAGGTCAGACCCGTCGAGAGTAGTGATTCTAGTCGGGTGGGCGGGTGCCAGCAGCGTTCGATTGAAGAGCATACATTTAGTTTTACTAGTGTTTAAGAGCAGTTGGATGCTACTGAAGGAGTGTTGTATGGCATTGACGCTCATTTGGAGGTTTGTTAACACAGTGTCCAATGAAGGGCCAGATGTATACAAAATGGTGTCGTCTGCGTAGAGGTGGATCTGAGAGTCACCAGCAGCAAGAGCGATATCATTGATATACACGGAGAAAAGAGTCGGCCCAAGAATTGAACCCTGTGGCACCCCCATAGAGACTGCCATAGGTCCAGACAACAGGCCCTCCGATTTGACACATTGAACTCTATCTGAGAAGTAGTTGGTGAATCAGGCGAGGCAGTCATTTGAGAAACCAAGGCTATTTAGTCTGCCAATAAGAATGCGGTGGTTGACAGAGTCGAAAGCCTTGGCCAGGTCGATGAAGACGGCTGCACAGTACTGTATTATCGATCGCGGTTATAATATCGTTTAGGACCTTGAGCGTGGCTGAAGTACACCCATGACCAGCTCGGAAACCGGATTGCATAGCGGAGAAGGTACGGTGGGATTCGAAATGGTCGGTGATCTGTTTGATAACTTGGCTTTCAAATACTTTCGAAAGGCAGGGCAGGATGGATATAGGTCTGTAACAGTTTGGATCTAGAGTGTCACCCCCTTTGAAGAGGGGGATGACCGCGGCAGCTTTCCAATCTCTGGGGATCTCAGACGTTACGAAAGAGAGGTTGAACAGGCTAGTAATAGGGGTTGCGACAATTTCGGCAGCTAGTTTTAGAAAGAAAGGGTCCAGATTGTCTAGCCCAGCTGATTTGTAGGGGTCCAGATTTTGCAGCTCTTTCAGAACATCAGCTGTCTGAATTTGTGTGAAGGGGAAGCGGGGGGGGGGGGGGGGGGGCATGGGCAAGTTGCAGCGGAGGGTGCAGAGTTGGTGGCCGGGGTAGTGGTAGCCAGGTGGAAAGCATGGCCAGCCGTAGCAAAATGCTTGTTGAAATTCTCGATTATGGTAGATTTATCGGTGGTGATAGTGTTTCCTAGCCTCAGTGCAGTGGGCAGCTGGGAGGAAGTGCTCTTATTCTCCATGGACTTTACAGTGTCCCAAAACTTTTTGGAGTTAGTGCTACAGGATGCACCTGTGTCATTTTGGTGCCAGTTTTGGAAAATGCTTTGCCATCGACTTGTGTATTATCTCTTGAGACCTTTTGACCCAGAATTCGGACACAAAATGTTGTAATATCTCATCAATGGTAAGGCCTACTGACATGAAGAAAATTGCACTATGCTTCTGACAGTGTGTTGTATCATTTGGTATGTTCAGCTCTAAAAGTTATGTTTATTTTCCCCCCCTAACACCATACCTTTAGGGAAGGCAGTTCTATTCCAAACAAACAATCCAGGTGCATTTAGAGATAAGCTCATTGACTGTCACCTAGAATAGAAGGTTAGGACTCATTTGATAACACCCATGTGAAGTAATGACACCCTCACAACACTTGTCCTGTGACAAAACTACATTTCAGTTAGCTAACTAGCTAGTTAGATGGCTAAAGTGAGCAAGTGCAGGTGAAGATATTTCATTTGTTTAATGATTATTTTATTTTTTACCATTTCAGCTAACATTTGCTCCCTAATCAGTTAATATTGTTAATATAAATGCAGAGATAAGTCACACATTATACTACTTCCCTTTGCCACGACTTGGTTTTGCTTGCTAGACCAAGCAGATAGGAGTGCCTAGCAACGAAAAACGACGCTGGTTTGATAGAGGATGGCTAGCTAGCTGAGTTGGTTACAGTAACTACAGTAACGTTTGCTAGCTAATCATCATCATGACTCATTTGCTGCAACGTTAGCTGGCTAGTCAGGTAACGTTAGCTAGTTAACTAGAGAACGTTAACATTAGCTAAACTAGCTACCTAGTTTTTACAGGGGCTAAATGCTAATGTTAGCTAGATATAAAAAATCTTTCAAAACCCATCTATGTAGCTAGCTACCTCTGTAACTGGTAACTAGCTAGCCAGTAAGCTAATCACTCACCTCACTGAATATGTCGTGCAGGTATCGAAACGGCGGTTTGGTGAGCAGTTTTTCAGTAAGCGGCGGTTTCTTTATCACTTTCCCCAAAGTGTCTTGGGTCTTTTTGGCCACTGACCCGTTCATAGCAGCTGTTGGAATGATAAATTCCCCAAAGCTATTGATACAAATAGGAATAAGACTGTTTTTCTAGCAGCTCTCCTGTCGCTATGTCAATAGCGTCCAATCCCACAATGCATCATTCATCTGAAATGCGCCTGCGCTAAGTGTAGTCAAGCACTGTTGGCTGGCTATAGCAACAACTAACAATGCAGTAAAATAACTTAACCAAAACAATGCAAATACTATGGAAACGCGTGGGGAAATATGCTGTGGGCAAAATATCCTGAATCTATCAGCAACATTTAGGCTATTTTTATATGTGTATTTTACAATGTTGAGTTAAAGAAATCGGAGTATAATGCTTGTATGGATGTCAGCCAATCTTCACCAATCAACTGCATTACAGTTAAAAACGACTTTGACTACCACCACTAATTTCTTTATGCTAGCTATGCTACCAGTTTACAGTTTTTATTTTAACGCTTTGGTAGTATTTTCAGAAGTATGTGGTAAAATTTCACAACTCTTAGTACAAAACTCAAAACAGATAATCAAAAAGGCAGTTTTTTCAAAACTTTAAGCACATTTTCAATTGATTAAGTACAGCATACAAAATCACACAGTAACTTTTTCACTAAACCTAATTAGCGTTTCATCTAGAAATACCTTTCATATAAAGTAATTGCCTTTCAAAATGCAGTGCTCACAATATTTTTCATATGATTCTCTTCTCATTTGTTTAAATACATTTGACCATCACTTAATCCAACTGCACTTAATGGTTAATCACTTAACCATTTGGTAAACCTATAGATTTTAAACTGGTTTGTCTACTATGGACTACATAAATAAAATCTGTGTTTGTAAATTATAAACATCTAAATGATATGTATGATACATTATAACCATACATAATGACTACTCATCATTGCTAATTGATTTTACATAGTGGTAACCACAATTAGTCAGCATATAAAAAGGTGTGTGTGAACACTTGCAATTTCAACATGAAGCAGGATAGACAGCAAGGGAGAGGAAGAAATCAAAGAGCTCGTGGACAAGGGGCCCGTCAGAGAGGTTTGCATGGGCCCCGTCAAAGAGTTCAAAGAGGTGGGCATGGGCACCGTCAAAGAGGAGGACATCAGAGAGAGGGAGGCAGACGGCAGGGAACTGTTGTGTCTAATGAAGTCTAGGCCATCGTCGTTGACCATGTGGTAAACAGAGGCCTTACCATGGCAGAGGCTGCCAGATTAGTTCACCCCAATCTGAAAAGATTAACTGTCAATTCGATCATTACAACATTTCTCCATGAAAACCGGTAAGTCTGCAGGATATGCACTATGCTTTACCATTACATTTACAGTAAATGACATATTGTAATGCATGTAAATTCACAAAACATGTTACAGTATTGTTTCAGTATGATCTATTGACAGTATAGTCTGTTCTACTGTCAGAATTGACAGAAGACCCCATGGTGGTGGCCTTGGCCATGTGCTGACCAACCAGCAAGAGTGGACAGTGGTGGAAATGGTGAGGGCCAGGAATGATATACGGCTGTCCGAAATAAAGCAGGCCATTGAGGAGAACGATGACACCTTTGCCAATGTGGCCTACCAACAATCACCCGCCTTTTGAAGAGGCACCAGGTATCTATGAAACACATTTACTGTACCGGGTGCCTTTTGAGAGAAACAACGACCGGGTGAAACAACTGCGGGGCCGAGTATGTTCAGGTACAGCACTATATACTGTATTACTGTTACTATTTGATGCACATGCTACTTCACAATATCATATTGGAACTATACTGTAACAATAACTATCCAAAATATATTATGTTGAGGGTGACAGTGCTTGATGCTGCTGTGAACCATCACAAGTATATCTTTGTTGATGAAACTGGCTTCAATCTGGCCAAAACTCGGCGCTGTGGGCGGAACCTCATCGGCCAACAGGCTACGGTCCAAGTTTCCTGGACAATGTGGGAGAAACATCTCCATGTGCGCAGCTATCTCTGAAGATGGTGTGGTAGGACGCAGGCCATTACTTGGATCCTACAATGCTGCACACCTCATTGTGTTTGTCAATTAAATTGAGCAGGCCTGTCAAGGTGAAGGGGTCACCTATGTCATTGTGTGGGATAGGTTCCACCATGCAGAGGTGGTTCAGGCATTGTTTCGGGCCCATCCGCGATTCGTGACCCTATACCTGCCCCCATACTCTCCTTTCCTCAACCCTATTGAGGAATTTTTTTCAGCATGGAGGTGGAAGGTGTACTATCGCCATTCCAATGAGCGTGCCACCCTCCTTCTGGCCATGGATGAGGCACATGACAACCTCAATGCAGACCAATGTCAAGCTTGGATTCGCCATGCCAAAAGGTTTTCCCGTGGTGCATGAACAATGAGGACATTCACTGTGATGTGGATGAGAATTGATGGCCAAATGCTCAAGACAGGCTTGATGCAAATTAATGCGTGCTAAACACATTTTATTTTCATTCATTTCATTTGTATAGATTTTCTGTCAATTTTGTCGGGTAATGTAAGTGTATTGCCTAATGTGAAAACTGTGTAATCTACTGTAATTTACAGTACTGTAGCATTTTACTTTCAGCACTTTTAAGGGCAATTTGAAACGCGTATCTTGCATTGTTTGCTATTGGATTAACTGGTAGTTAAAACGACTAAATTGAAAGATCTCATTATGTTGTGTTTTGGTGATTAAACCAATGTTCTCATTACATTTCACAATAAACATATATTTTGAATCAATGGTTGTGTGGTGAGAGATGTTTACAATCCAAATGAATGCACAATGACAGGTTTTGAATGAAAGACTGGCTGCGTTACAAGTGTGACCAGTTTAGAGTTATGTACTAAGAGTTGTGAAAATGTACCACATACTTTTTTTACATAAAAAAATAAAAAATAACTGCATAGGCCTTAATTTTATCTAAATGTCTGTGTGTGTGTGTGTGTTTGTGTAATGGGGAAATGTAAGATGACTAAAGTTAATATTTAGTTTGGAGTGATTAACAACGTGTTTAGCATATTTTGAGTTTCTGTAATACACATTTTCAGGGTTGTTTTTGAGACACTCAAGGTGTGGGTTGATGGTCACTAGACTTGAAGCTGAATGTTATGGATACTTCTCATTTTTGTGGATAGTGATTGACGCCAGACAGAATGTTCAAGGACCGAGGACACACTGATTACTCACTGTTGTATTTTAGTGATGACATTCTGTGGACACGTGTGATTCTGTAGCAGCTGACAAAGTCACTGCCTTTTGTTTTCACTTCCTACGAGCCTCTCGGTCTGGTGTTTACAGAACTGTTGGTGCTGTCTGATTAGGATAAAAGGCCTGTCTCCAAGAGGCCAGTTAGACATTTTCTCTGCTTCTGTGCTGGGTGGTGTATCCCTGTTGCAACTTGTAATAAACTGGATAGATTTTTGATTTACTTTAGCAACGACTTATCTCATTTTGTGAAATTCCTATTACAGTGTGTTTGTGCGCTACATTTAATTTGAATAGTTTTGTGTAATGCCAACCCCATACCTGTTTGGTAAGTTCTGTTGTCTATAAAAAGACCTGAAAATCAAAACCAAGTTACTGTCAGCTTGGACGTAAGCTCCAGACACTCCTCATACGCCTGTGCAATAGGTAAGATATTCATATTATTGAACAACATTTCTCAGTTGAAACCTGTACTATTATTATGTTCACTTGATGCAGCATTTGAATAATCTGGGTAGCGTATATGCCTATCGGTGTCAACATTCAATAATGTTAAAACCTTAATTTTGCCCTGGCCATTTGGCCAAAGAAGAAGCAGAATGACACCCAAATAAATTGTTTGAAGTTATGAATAAATTAACATGATCTATGCTAACTCTAAAATACAGTATACTGGTACGGGATTTTGTTTTAGAATTTAAAAACACTCTAGTCTAATAGACCTATGTCATTATCAGGAAAAGGAATGCTTTGAGGAAATGGGACACACGTAACCAAATAAGATTGGCCTGTTTCAGTAGGCATATAGTGCTATTTGTTAGGCAATTGTATTGAAATAGCACAGAAAATGGCACAAGGCAGGTGTTTTTTCGACTGGGTCCCTTTTTTATGACACTTCACTTTTATATGGTATTACATTGTTATGTGCCCATTCACTGTGCCATTTAGGATTTAAATATTCTAGCACATATATCATTGTAATTAAACCAGCCAAACCTGTTCTGACACAAAGCCTGCAATGCCTTCATTCATTGCTCCATTGTCAGATCCATAATCAGGATCCTTGGCATGCAGAAATTGTCTGATGAGATTGTCTAAGCACGAAGGGTGTGTGAGAGAATTCAGAGACAGATAGTCTAACAGAGTATGATCTGCACCACCCTATCATGAAGAAAGTTTACTCTTATTGTGACAGACTGGTAAAATAAATGTAAACTGGCCAGTGCACCTGAGATTTGGTGCGAGGTTCCGAGATTATGAAGAAGTTGGCTTCTGCAGAGGGCATTGTAGTTGAGATTGGTAAGGATTTTGATGCGATTTTCTTTTGCATCCTTCTCCTCTGTCTCCTCTGTCTCTCCCCCCCCCCCCCCCCTTCTTTCTCTCTCTCTCTCAGAACTGATGAACAACATGTATCGCTGGTCTCTCTTTGCCTTGCTCTTTGTCACCTGCATGGAAGTGTCCATACAGAAGAAAACAAAGCAAGGCCCTCAAACTCTCTCAAGAGGTAAGCCTGATGTATCAATGTATCCTAGCCACATACCTAACCTCCATTGGACTTTACTACTAAAACTATTCTTCATCCCCATTACATTAACACCAAATTAATTGAATCTGCTCCAATCTGCTCATTTGTAGCTCAGTTAGTAGAGCATGGTGCTTGGTTAGTGGGTTCCATTCCCGCGACCACCCATACATAAAATGTATGCGCACATGACTGTAAGATAAAAGCGTCTGCTAAATGGCTTGTATATTCTATTATATTAATCCTTAATTTTGCCTCAGGATGGGGGGATGACATTACCTGGGCCCAGACCTATGAGGAAGCCCTGACGACAATGACAGAAAGGTAAGACAAGACAAGATATTAGACAAAATACACAACAAGATTGTGCAATTGTGTTGTTTGGTTAGTGGCGTACGTTGAAAATTAAAGCAGTCTTTCAAATGTCTGAGAGTGAACTATTTTATTAAAGCTACACTATATATACAAAGGTATGTGGACACACCTTCAAATTAGTGTATTCGGCTATTTCAGCCACACCCGTTGCTGACAGGTATAAACAATTGAGCACACAGCCATGCGATCTCCATAGACAAACATTGGCAGTAAAATGGCCTTACTGAAGAGCTCAGTGACTTTCAATGTGGCACCGTCATAGGATGCCATCTTTCCAGCAAGTCAGTTTGTCAAATTTCTGCATTTCTAGAGCTGCCCTGAGTAAGTGCTGTTATTGTGAAGTGGAAACGTATAGGAGAAACAACGGCTCAGTCGTGAAGTGGTAGGCCACACAAGCTCACGGAACGGGACCGCCGAGTGCTGAAGAGCGCATAAAAATGGTCTGTCCTCGGTTGCAATACTCACTACCGAGTTCCAAACGGCCTTTGGAAGCAACGTCAGCACAATAACTGTTTGTCGGGAGCTTCATGAAATGGGTTTCCATGGCCGAGCAGCCGCACACAAGCCTAAGATCACCGTGCGCAATGCCAAGCATCGGCTGGAGTGGTGGAAATCTCGCTGCCATTGGGCTCTGGAGCAGTGGAAACGCTTTCTCTGGAGTGATGATCGCGTCACCATCTGGCAGTCCGACGGACGAATCTGGGTTTGGCGGATGCCAGGAGAACGCTACCTGCCTGAATGCATAGTGCCAACTCTAAAGTTTGGTGGAGGAGGAATAATGGTCTGGGGATGTTTTTCATGGTTCGGGCTAGGCCCCTTAGTTCTAGTGAAAGGAAATCTTAACGCTACAGCATACAATGACATTCTAGACGATTCTGTGCTTCCAACTTTGTGGCAACAGTTTGGGGAAGGCCCTTTCCTGTTTCAGCATGACAATGGCCCTGTGCACAAAGTGAGGTCAATACAGAAATGGTTTGTCGAGATTGGTGTGGAAATCGAACACCTTTGGATTAATTGGAACGTTGACTGCGAGCCAGGCCTAATCGCCCAACATCAGTGCCCGACCTCACTAATGCTCTTGTGGCTGAATGGAAGCAAGTCCCCACAGCAATGTTCCAACATCTAGTGGAAAGCCTTCCCAGAAGAGTGGAGGCTGTTATAGCAGCAAAGGGGGGACCAACTCCATATTATGGCCATGATTTTGGAATGAGATGTTCGATAAGTAGGTGTCCACATACTTTTGGTCATGTAGTGTATCTGCTTATGTCACAGCCCTATCCTCACAATTATTAAATCACTGTGCCCCATTAATTCAATGTCCCCAATGAAACAAATCAAATTGTAACTGAAATCCTCATATTTATTCAGTGGCTAAATCCCAAATTGCACCCTATTCCCTACATAGTGCACTACTTTTGACCAGGGCCCTATTACAAGTAGTGCACTGAATAGGGAATAGGATGCCATTTGGTACTGACACAACCTATGTGTTCTCATATATCTTTAATGACACTCAGGCCTTGGGTTTGGTATATTCCCAGAGACATTCTGTGCTTCTCTGTAAGCACATCCACCCACTACCTATTCAGCAGTGGAATATGTTCATATTTTGTCTGTGTCCTCGTGTTCCCACAGTAAGAAGCCTCTGATGGTCATTCATCACATGGAGGATTGTCCTCATAGTCAAGGTAATACTGCTGTACTTTCATTCTCACACATACTTCATCTAACCACAGGGCCCCAACCAAGGTCTTTGTTGCCTTACAATTCAAGTCATTCTGGTCTCTTTGTATCAACATTTAATTATATTCTAGACATTATCATTTGTAAGGTCTTGTATGACAAAGGAATACATTTACAAATTCCACTTTCTGAGGATAAAGTGTGTTGAAGTTGAAGGTGAGGTTCTCACTAACTGTCATTCTGTCACACCTCTTTTCACAGCTCTGAAGAAGGCATTTGCTGCTGATAAAGCCATACAGGAACTGGCCCAAGAGGATTTTGTCATGCTCAATGTGATGGTAATTATCATTTTAATGCTTTTTCAACATGTACTCATTGGAAGCAATGCAATAGTATGGTTAACTATATTCCAATCACAGATCAAACATTGAATCATGCACTTCATTATTTCCTTACCTTTAGATAAATGTTGGATATTAAATGTCAAAGGTGAGATGATAGATGTTGATTATTATACATTTATATTTTGATGTAATTTTGATATATTTCTCAGCATGAGACTACAGACACCAATCTGGCTCCAGATGGCCACTACGTTCCAAGAATCATATTTGTTGGTGGGTCTCTCTTCTTCTACCATGTCATCTGAGGACATCTCTCACTTAGGAAATAAATCACCATTCATTCTGAATCCCCAGTATATCACTCTGTCTAATGCTTGCCGTGAGATATTTGATGTAACTGTATTCAGTGCCTCATACAACTTTAATAGTAGCCATTAGCCTAATATTAATCAGACAACTCACATTTTTGATTAAGGGATCAATGTAATCTATGGGTGGCCATAGTGTTAGAAATTGAATAGTATGAATAAAGCATTACAATCTAGGTATTTATGCACCCATAATGATGTGTTCTGGTTGGAAGGAACATGTGGCTGCAGATATTCTCTAACACCCAACCCTGTCTGGAATGTAGAACTTCTGCTTTGAAGCTTTGGCAAAGTCCTCCTCCATAATTGATAACTGTCTCTGCAACCCCCGCCCCCTTACCCCCCACCCCCTCGCTCACACACACACACACACACACACACACACACACACACACACACACACACACACACACACACACACACACACACACACACACACACACACACACACAAACACACAAACACACAAACACACAAACACACACACACAAACACACACCTTTTTTCCACAGATCCATCCATGACTGTGCGTGCCGACCTTGTTGGGAAGTACGGTAACCGCATGTACACCTACGAGCCGAGTGACGTCCCGTACTGTGAGTGTACCTCTTCTTCTCTTCTTCCCTAATGAGGTCCTATGAGATTCAGGCTGTTGCTTAACACACATACACATCCTCAAACTTTTTTTCCAATAACACAGACTGCACTTACTTATTAATTCGGTTCTACTCTTTCTTCCTTCACCTCATCCACTAACTAGTTGGGACAAGAGAGAGTTGGGAGATGCAACTGCAAAATAATTAGAATGCTTCAGGGATAGTTCTTAGCTGGAGAGAAGGTGGGCAGGTGAGGGGGTGGGTGAATACTTTATGAAAGTTTTACTGGAAGAGTGTCTCAAAGTTTCTGACAAAATTGCTGAAGAAGTAGGAAAGAGCGTGATAAGGGCAAATCCAGGCGTCAGTTGCTCAAATTAAAATCTGAAAAGGGAAAGCATGATAATTATTAGTCAAGAAATTAAGCGAATGATTACTGTAATTGCTGGAAGTCTAAAATAATTAATTGCTTAGTCTATCTAGACTACTAACAGAATTTGTAAAGCAAGGTTGGGGTCAGGGCCATTTCAATTCAGTCAATTCTTTAATTGGATTCCCAATTCTCTTCCTGACTTGAAATGGAATTGACCCCTTCCCTGGTGAATAGATTCTTACTCTAGCTTCTTGTCTATTGTGCCCCTTTCTCCACAGTGGCCGAGAACATGAAGAAAGCCAAGCGTCTACTGCATACTGAACTTTAACCTCACAGCCTTTTCAACACTGTACCATAATCTACTGGGCCCCTCCCTGTTCTGGGATCAACATCAAATACCAGAGGGGTTCACTGAGTCTTGGATACTCACATGTTTACACAGAATGTATACAATAGATGATCAATAAAGATGCATGACAGTGTGCACTGAATCTGTTGATTTTCATTGACTCCAAATGCTAAAACAGAAAGTGTATTTAACTAAGTTATATGGACATACTCTGTGAGGGCTGTTGACATGACTTTGCTATACCTTTTTGTAGAATGTAAGAGGATACAAAAATATTTTTACAAATAATTTCATAAATATAAGACTTTTATCTGCTCAGTGCTTAATACATTTATAATGAGGGCATGTATACATTAAACACTGTAGACCCTATTATGTATATCTAAGACCCCCTGGACATATCCCTGCAAACATCAAAGTAAACATGGTGTTTGTTAGGTAATACCAAATATACTCTAAGTCAGGGGTTCTCAAAGTGGGGTCCGGTCCACGGCCAGATCTCAATTAATCAGACAACTCACATTTTTGATTAAGGGATCAATGTAATCTATGGGTGGCCATAGTTTTAGAAATTGAATAGTATGAATAAAGCATTACATATATATATGGGTGAAACTCCCCAAATACAGGTGTGCGAAGCTTGTAGCGTAATACCCAAAAAGACTTGAGGCTGTAATCACTGCCAAAGGTGCTTCAACACAGTTCTGAGTAAAGGGTCTGAATACTTATTTAAAAGTATTTTCAGTTTTACATTTTTAATACATTTGCAAAACTTTCTACAAATCAGTTTTTGCTTTGTTATTATGGGGTTTTGTCTGTAAATTGATGAGGGAAAAAACAATTTAATCAATTTTAGAATATGACTGTAACGTAAAAATTTTTGGAAAAAGTCAAGGGGTCTGAATACTTTCCGAATGCACTGTAAATGCATGCACAACAAACCTCTTTCCAAACAGATTCTTGGTTGGGTCTTTTGCTTATTTATTAGCATCTAAGATAAAACATTCCATACAGGAAGATGTCATAACTGTAAGTCGCTCTGGATAAGAGCGTCTGCTAAATGACTAAACTGTAAAATGTAAAAATGGAAAGGTCTGAATACTTACGTAAATTAAATATTTCAGTTTAAAAAATGCTATACATTTGCAAAAAAATCTTAAAACCTGTTTTTGCTTTTTCATTATGGGGTATTGTGTGTAGATTGATGAGGAACATTTTTTATTTAACCCATTTTAGAATAAGTGTCACGTTCGTTCATAGACGGGTCAGACCAAGGCGCAGCGTGATATGCATACATGTTTATTTGAACCGAATAAACACAACGACAAAACAACAAACTAAACGAAACGTGAAGTCCAAGGTAGACACAAACAACATACCTTTCACGGAACAAGATCCCACAACCCACTAGTGCCAATAGGCTGCCTAAGTATGGTCCCCAATCAGAGACAACAAGCGACAGCTGCCTCTGATTGGGAACCACACCGGCCAACATAGATCTAGACCTACTAGATCCTAATAACATAGAACAAGCACAACAAGGAATATACACACCCTGACTCAACATATAAGCGTCCCCTGAGTCAGGGCGTGACAGTACCCCCCCCCCCCAAAGGTGCGGACTCCGACCGCACAACATAAACATAACAGAGTAGGGGCCGGGTGGGCAGGGCAGGGCGTGACGACCTCTCACTCTTCGCCTCCCTGTTGCGCCCCTGGTCTGGTCTAGACCTCGGCGCGTTGCTTCCCCTCTCCTTCCTCCCACGATATGCCAGGCCCTGTCTGGACCCTGGTGTGGGAGACCCCGAACCTGGAGAGGGGCTGACGTCATGGTCTGGACTGGAGCCGCTGACCGGAGCTGGACTAGGCACCGGTGGAGCGGACTGCTCTGGTTCCGGAGTGGAGCCGCTGACCGGAGCTGGATCAGGCACCGGTGGAGCGGACTGCTCTGGCTCCGAAGTGGAGCCGTTGACCGGAGCTGGATCAGGCACCGGTGGAGCGGACTGCTCTGGCTCCGGAGTGGAACAACTGACCGGTGCCGGACCAGGCACCGGTGGAACGGGCACGGGCCATGCCGGACTGGACAAATGCACCACTGGTCTGGTGCGAGGAGCAGGCACGGGCCAGACCGGACTGGCGACGCGCACCACTGGTTTGGTGCGAGGAGCAGGAACAGGCTGGGCCGGGCTGGCGACCGGGGGAACAGGAGGCCGGGCCGGGCTGGCGACCCACCACTGGCTTGGTGCGAGGAGCAGGTACAGGCCGGGCCGGGCTGGCGACGCGCACCACTGGCTTGGTGCGAGGAGCAGGAATAGGCCGGGCCGGGCTGGTGACGCGCACCACTGGCTTGGTGCGAGGAGCAGGAACAGGCCGGGCCGGGCTGGCGACGCGCACCACTGGCTTGGTGCGAGGAGCCGGAACAGGCCGGGCCGGGCTGGCGACGCGCACCACTGGCTTGGTGCGAGGAGCAGGAACAGGCCGGGCCGGGCTGGCGACGCGCACCACTGGCTTGGTGTGAGGAGCAGGAACAGGCCGGGTCGGGCTGGCGACGCGCACCACTGGCTTGGCTTTATTAACCCCCACTCCCTCTGCTGCCTAACCAGCTCCTCTCGCCGTGCCTCAACACTTTCCTTCTCCCTTTTAACCTCCTGTAGCGCCTCCCTCTGACCGAAAAACTCCTGCTCCCTCTGAACCAATAGCCCCCATAACATGGTGGCCTCCTCTCCTAACCTGCAGACTAGCCCTTCCACGGCCTCCTGCTGCCTCGTTATCCACCCCGTGTGCCCCCCCAAAAAATGTTCTTGGGGTTGCCTCTCGGGTCTCCGTCGTCGACACGGTTGGCGCCGTTTCTCCTCTCCCACCTGGGCATCACCCTTCATCGCCTCCCGATAACGGACGGCCTCCTCCTCAGTAATTCTCCCCCAACCGAGGAGGACATCTACTAAAGTTACCTCCAGTTGAATCCTCGGCATTTGCTCCTTCTGGGCACGCTGCTTGGTCCTTGTTTGGTGGGATCTTCTGTCACATTCGTTCATAGACGGGTCACACCAAGGCGCAGCGTGATATGCATACATGTTTATTTGAACCGAATAAACACAACGACAAAACAACAAACTAAATGAAACGTGAAGTCCAAGGTTGAACACACAACATACCTTTCACGGAACAAGATCCCACAACCCACTAGTGCCAATAGGCTGCCTAAGTATGGTCCCCAATCAAAGACAACAAGCGACAGCTGCCTCTGATTGGGAACCACACCGGCCAACATAGATCTAGACCTATTAGATCCTAATAACATAGAACAAACACAACAAGGAATATACACACCCTGACTCAACATATAAGCGTCCCCTGAGTCAGGGCGTGACAATAAGGCTGTAACGTAACAACGTGGAAAAAGTCAAGGGGTCTGAATACTTCCGAATGCACTGTATGTATATATATATATATATATATATATATATATATATATATAGTGTGTGAATATTACTAACAGATTAAACTACTTTTGGCCAAGGGATCCGTGGAATGACTTTAAAGTGTGTCATAAAATACAACAAAATGTCATATTATTAATCTACAATTGATGGTCTTAACACAGTTGAAGTCGGAAGTTTACAAACACCTTAGCCAAATACATTTAAACTCAGTTTTTCACAATTCCTGACATTTAATCCTAGTGAAAATTCCCCGTCTTAGGTCAGTTAGGATCACCACTTTATATTAAGAATGTGAAATGTTAGAATAATAGTAGAGAGAATAATTTATTTCAGCTTTTATTTCTTTCATCACATTCCCAGTGGGTCAGAAGTTTACATGCACTCAATTAGTATTTGGTAGCATTGCCTTTAAATTGTTTAACTTGGGTCAAACGTTTTGTGTAGCCTTCCACAAGCTTCCCACAATAAGTTGGGTGAATGTTGGCCCATTCCTCCTGACAGAGCTGGTGTAACTGAGTCAGGTTTGTAGGCCTCCTTGCTCGTACATGCTTTTTCAGTTCTGCCCACAAATGTTCTATAGGATTGAGGTCAGGGCTTTGTGTTGGCCACTCCAATACCTTGACTTTGTTGTCCTTAAGCCATTTTGCCACAACTTTGGAAGTATGCTTGGGGTCATTGTCCATTTGGAAGACCCATTTGCGACCAAGCTTTAACTTCCTGACTGATGTCTTGAGATGTTGCTTCAATATATCCACATCATTTTCCTTCCTCATGATGCCATCTTTTTTGTGAAGTGAACCAGTCCCTCCTGCAGCAAAGCACCCCCACAGCATGATGCTGCCACCCCCGTGCTTCATGGTTGGGATGGTGTTCTTCGGCTTGGAAGCGTCCCCCTTTTTCCTCCAAACATAACGATGGTCATTATGGCCAAACAGTTCTATTTTTGTTTCATCATACCAGAGGACATTTCTCCAAAAAGTATGATCTTTGTCCCCATGTGCAGTTGCAAACCGTGGTCTGGCTTTTTTTATGGTGGTTTTGGAGCAGTGGCTTCTTCCTTGCTGAGCGGCCTTTCAGGTTATGTCGATATAGGACTTGTTTTACTGTGGATATACAGTAGATACTTTTGTACCTGTTTCCTCCAGCATCTTCACAAGGTCCTTTCCTGTTGTTCTGGGATTGATTTGCACTTTTCGCACCAAAGTACGTTCATCTCTAGGAGACAGAACGCATCTCCTTCCTGAGCGGTATGACGGCAGCGTGGTCCCATGGCGTTTATACTTGCGTACTATTGTTTGTACAGATGAACGTGGTACCTTCAGGCGTTTGGAAATTGCTCCCAATGATGAACCAGACTTGTGGAGGTCTACAAATTTTTTTCTGAGGTCTTGGCTGATTTCTTTTGATGTTCCCATGATGTCAAGCAAAGAGGCACTGAGTTTGAAGGTAAGCCTTGATATACATCCACAGGTACACCTCCAATTGACTCAAATGATGTCAGTTAGTCTATCAGAAGCTTCTAAAGCCATGACATAATTTTCTGGAATTTTCCAAGCTGTTTAAAGGCACAGTCAACTTAGTGTAAGTAAACTTCTGACCCACTGGAATTGTGATACAGTGAATTATAAGTGAAATAATCTGTCTGTAAACAATTGTTGGAAAAATTAGTGGTTGAAAAACGAGTAACCGTAACCGTGGA